CTTAATAAACTGTTGATTTGTTTACATTACTGTGTCTGGCTCTTTAAAGGCATCTGAGTTCCAACACTTCTGCTTCACTTTTTGATCCTAGGCCAAATTCTCTGACAGTATTTTATTCTCTTGTTTTCTCCTTTTGCATTCCAATTGACTATGATTAATAATATATTTTGTTAAGGTGTGTGTATACTCAATTTCCTCATTTCTTCCTCATCTGCCTCTGTAATGGGAGCACAGACTTGGTTTTCTATCCCCCTGCCTGCTTTTGCTACACCTTGTCTCACTACTAATGCCATCTAGTTTATCTTGGTTATTGGTTCCAGAATAAAATGCAGTGTTATCCACTTTAGTTCATTCAACACCTATAATGGCTATGTCTTATTATTCCATTTTATGTTTTATGATTTTTAGTTTTTTAATCATAGTCCCACATTGCACATTTCAGCTAGATACATTGTGTACATTTTCTTTCTTCTGGGCTTGAATGTCCTTTCTGTGTGAGTCCAGTTGCATGAGCTAAATAAATTATTAGCAATTGTCCTTTGCTCTTCTCAGTACCTTCTAATCCATGATTCAATTTTCCCCCAAATTCCTAGTTTTATTGTGTGTGAACCAACATGAGATAGTCTTAGCTTGGCATTACAATAGTAAGTTTTAAAATAATGGAACAATATATTGTGAACATATGCTGTGATGCCATGCATAGGCACTATCTAATTTCATTTTGGGTTGTCTCACCACAGTGTTTTCAAAGTAAAAGGTATTCAGAGATAGTTTGCCATTATTTCTGAGCAGTCCTGCCACTATGGCAAGATAATGCCAAGGTGGGTGATTATCTGAATATGGGACACACATTCTGATGAATGGTGTATTTTGTTGAGTCATTTTTGAACATTTGGAGACTTTCTGATAACTTGTTTGTGAGCATATAGATTATGTGAAGGAACATAGTAGCATTCCTTTTAATTGTGCTAAATTAAAGAAAAAAGATAATTCCATTGTAAGCATCCAAATTCCTTCAGCAGTTCAGTAAATCTGAGATGTTTCTTAAGGTAACACATAATTAGGAAACAATGGGGCATCTTTGCTGGTCCCACTACACTATTTAGAATTGAAAGCATAGTGTATGTACAGAGGGTAAGGTGAAAACCACCATGTATTGAACATTGTGCTGTGTTATTCCTGTTACAGGACATGTCTGTTAGATAATTGCAGTTTTTCCCCAAATTCCTGGTTTTATGATGTTTGAACCAACATAAGATAGTCTTAGCTTGACCTTAGAATAGTAAGTTTTAAAATAATGGAACAATATACTGTGAACATATGCTGTGACTCAGTGCATATGTAGCACTTAGTTCTAAGCAATTGATAGAGGCTCATGGGTTGTATAGTTTCTCCCCAGACCACTGGCATTGTTATAGGTTAAAGTGACCATGATAATCCTGACTATGAAGGATTCCAGACACCTTTAAATATGGGTGCTGTTGTAATGCTTCATAACAGAATTAAGTGGAAGTTGTGAAATTTCCTGACCAGTGAGCATAGCACTTTGTTGCAGAATATGACAATTCTTTATGTTGTTGTGTTAGAACGAAGTGTACACACAGCCAAAGAAAGTCAAATGAAGTAAAGGCTTATTTGTCATAGTATGGATTTTGTAAAAATGGGAGCATAGCTTAACTATGGTATTGGGGAAGGCTATTTTGAAGTGTAATGTTTCTTGGTATGTGATTGTCTTTGTTTTTTCTTGTCTTGTGTGGTGTATTATTTGCTGTTCTTTTTAAAGTTAAAAACTAACATAATCTATATCCTTATGTTCTTGAAATAGTCTGGAAGTATGTTTTATTTTTGTCTCTGAGGATAAAGCCTGAAGTTTAATTAAAGAAAAATATGTAAAGCAGCTGCAAGCAGTAGACTGACACATGGTTCTGCTGTTTGCATCTGGTGTGAATACAAGAAGTACCCTCAGACAGATGACTGTCTCCAACATGGCGTCAGCAGTCGATGGGAAACTTATTCAAACTTATTCATCTAGAAGTACAGTGACTTTCCAATAATGCATACCAATGTTTTGTACTAGAAAAGTATTTGTATCCAAAAATGTTGACAGTCTTTATTTAGAGCGTACCACTGAAGTTTCAGTAAGTCTACAGATCTTTAAAACAGCAGTGATATATATTTAGAAATATTCATATAGATCAATGGTTTTCAACCTTTGGTCCTCCAGGTGTTCCTAACAGCTGGCCAGCTGGCTAGGATTTCTAAGAATTGAAGTTCAAAACAGTCAGAGGAGTTGAGTGCTACTTATATAGATAGTAACTAGTAAGGCTTTAAAATAATCTGTTTCCTTTAGCCAAGAATAATTCTCCTAAATTTAACTTTTTATTGAATCTGTTAAAATCAGATTTTATTGTAAGTACAGAATAAGTTATTTTCATTTGAACTTTTTAAGTTTACTTACAGACTACCTGCATTTCTACGTATGCACATTAGATTTTTGTAAAAATTAAGTACTGTTCCATTATCTAGGCAGAGGCAACTAGAGGGTGCTAGAGAAAGAAAGATTGTCTCATTTATGAGGGTGGAGTTGAAGGAGGAAAACAATTTCCCCTATTTTAGCTGGTCGTCTCACCCTTCCCATATCATAAACAAGGATTGTTTCCATGATAGGAACATGGGTGGGGAGAATAATGCGAAAATAGGTGGAAATGATTTTCCTCCTTCAACCCACCTTCCACCCCTATAAATGGGACAGTCCTTCTCTCTATAGTGCCCCCCGGTGGCCTCTGCTCAGATAATGGAACAGTATCAAAAATTATTCTGTTTTTTATTGGAACATAACTCTTGCTCCTCAAACTAGAGGAGCTTTCTTAGACTTTAGGTGTTCCTTACAGTTCAGAACTTTGTAGTACCAATTGTATAAAGTAAATTACTATGTTATGATAATCTAACTAATCTGTTTTAAGAGCACACATATTTTATGGCAATCAGATTTGTATGTAATATAGATTATGCCTCTAAAGTAATTCAGGCTGAAGGGATTTTTTTAGAAAGCCCAAAGTTTCAGGATTTCTTAAGGTTTTACATTTTTATGTCTAATAGAATTTTTGTAGATACATTGGGGTGAGGATAAGGAGTGCATCTCCTTACCTGTTTAGGGGGAAAGGGATTGGAGGTTTTCTACCCAAAGCCTCACAGTAGTCTAGGAATTCACCAAGAGGAAACCAGATAAATAAAATCTAGATTCCCTTTGAATCTTCTTAATTGGCTACCTAGCTGGAGGTAAAATTAATTAAAATTCAAACAACAAATAACAATAGCTAAGGTTTCCTGTTGGGTAACACTAGATATTGTGGGAGAATGTTGAAACAACAAAAGAGCATGTAGGTTGATTATAACCTAGGGCAGTTAAACATCCTGCTAGTATTTTTCCTTTCTTCTGCCATACTAGTTAGAAGATATTGCTGCTCTTTATTGGTTTCATAAATAATACTAGCCAACACACATTTTAAAGCCTCACGTGTTGACCCTGTTTCTGGACATATTTGACCTGCTGATTCCAGAAATTGTACCAGTTTTCCCTATCAGCTCAAGCTTTTGAGATTCAGAACATATGCCACCTATCAGTCGCCATCTGATCACCCATAGCAAATCATGATAACCATATCTAAGAAACTAGAGCAGTGCAAATTTCTGAATCAGTGCCCCCAAACAACCCCAGGAGCAGAACTAAAAACCAAGACACCAAGATTTTTTTTCTGTTGGGCTGTGTAATCAGAGAGAGAGAGAGAGAGTTTAATGCAAGCATTTTGTGTATATTTTCTAAAATCTATGCATTGTATGCACTGTTTCAGTTGTATGCATTCTAAGAAGTGTTTCTTTGGTGCCCCCTTCAGGGGAGGGGATATTTTTCATAAATGTTTGGAAAGGGCAGATTTTGATGTTTAACTGTGTCTTGATTTATTTGCTCCAGTCAATGGACCGTTTAAAGGATCCAGAAGGTATTTCTTGGGGCAAGAGCTTTGGTTTCTATCCTGGCAATTTGTTCTCCTAGCATGCCCTTGAATAGCCATACATAGAACGGAGAGTTCTTTATATACCTGAAACCTATTGCAATACGGTGTCATTCTGAGCTGACGTCAGTAGAATTGAGCTGTGCTAGGTAGGGAAATGTGAAATAGTGTAAGAGTTGCACTGTGTTGCTTTGGCCCCATCCTATAATCCTAGCCTCTCACTGTTAAAATGTAACTCCTGAAGCCCTTCCGAAAATAAATTCAGAAAAAGGCATAAGTTTTAAAAGGTTTCTTATTTCACATTCTGGTTTAACCTCTTGGTAAAGGGCCCACACATTCTCTGAAATGGGCCAGACACATAAATAAATTCACTTGAGTTGCTGTGTTTGCTATCACTGTTCTACAGTATGTTTCAGAAGATTTTTCCATTTGACTTCCAAAAGATATGGACTTGGAACTATTTGTTTGAAGCAATCTGCTGACAGCCAAGTTCATGGAAATGTAGAGGATGAGTATCATACATGGTTGAATGACAGGACATCTTTCCCAACTGTCCCCCAAAACCTGACAACTCTTGCACCTTCACAATGAAAGTAGAGATTGTCACTGAAATCTGATGTCTCCATAGTTGTACTCTTGTCTTGTCTCCTATTAATACAATTGTAACCATTAATCCATGAAGGTGCAGGAATTGCCAGGTTTTGGGGGACTGTTGGGAAAGATGTCCTGTCATTCAACCATGTGTGATACTCATCCTCTTCTTCTAGGTCAGGCTTCTTCAAACTTTTACTTTCCAGACTGAGTAGTGTTTAAGTGTTGAAAGAAGAGATTAGGGGAGGTTGCTCCAAATCCAGTCTCCACAGCTAGTTGCTTCTTGCTTTTCTTTCTGCTTTTTTCCTCAAAGAAGTTAGGTCACCTGGAAACAAAGAAGAAGTTTAGAGCCAAAACTTGATGATGCTAGCATATAACATTGTTTTGTTTCTATCCTAGGAGTTTGCAGCACTTACTAAAGAGCTTAATGTATGCAGAGAACAACTCCTTGAGAGAGAAGAAGAAATTGCAGAACTGAAAGCGGAAAGAAACAATACAAGGGTGAGTTTACTACTTGCAGTAGCCATTTTGTGATAGATTTGTTGAGAAGGATCCTGACATGTAATATATTAAGGACTTTTGTCTTTGCTTTTCAAATTAAAGTGGGGAAGTGAATGAACAGAACTTTCAATTATAATTCTGTGTCTATGAATGCAGTACTACAGGTTTTGAACAAATGTATAATGTCGACTGTTCAGCCTTACTGTTATTTGATTGGAAAATTGAACAAGCTATAGATGAAATTAATAATATGAAAATAATTACAAGGGAAATGTTTATGTGAATGTATTATGTGATATTAGTTTAATCAAACAGTTTGAATTCAGAGTTGTAGAAGCAGAACGCTGTTCATACTGAATGTCAAAACCGGAAAAACTGAAGACTGATTTTGAGTAGTTTGCATAATGTAAATGGTTTTAGGATTGACATTATTGCTATCACTACAGTTAGGGTTTTTTTTTTTTTTTTTTGGATTTTGTGTGTGTTTTGCCTTTTGGGTGGACTTTGAAGCTTGCAGAGAGCATTTCTTATTTTTCATGAGCAAATCTGCAATCTTCTTCCTCTTCAGATCCATAAAGATACAGTTTTTCAGCACCCATGTAACATTTTTCTAAAGCAAACTAAAAGCTGATTCATACAACCACTCTCAGTAGTCTGACATCTTTTAACTTTATTGCATTTTGCATGTTGGCAGAAAGGTCATCTAAATTGTGTGTATAAGGTGTTATCTGGAGCACCAATGTTTAACCAGCACAGGATAGTTTAAAGCAGGGTAGAAAAAATGCAGAATAGTAGTGGAGAGATCTCTTACTCTGCAACTGTTAGAGCTATTTCATAAATGGTTGCAGCCAGTTTTGTTGTATTTGCATTGTGTTGCAGAGTACACAATGGGAAGTGTGTCAAGGATGTCCTCATCTCTGGGTCAGTTACAAAGTTTGAAAATGTTACTTTTCCAAGATCTGTCTTATTTCTTATGTCATGAAAATAGATCGCTGCTATTGGATTCATGCACACTGTTCTCACTATTTCATATACAGTTTCTATTCTGTTTGGATGCAAACCTTGGTTTGCATAAACTATAGTTTGCTATTGTATACATTCTTGGCAGATTATTTACCATAAATTCCCCCATATAGCATGACAGGAAAATAAAAATCATCTCCCAGTTTTTTCACATATCACTGAAGTTCAAACTACATGAGCAGATGCCTACATTACATGTCTAGTGCAATTTTTGGGAGAAAAGTGCAGTATACATTTAATAAACAATCCTGAATATTTGAAAACAGTGGCAAATGCACATATATGAATACAACGTTGTCTAAAATTAAAGGGAAATATATGCAATAGAGATGCAATCATTCTTGCCACTAATAGAACAACACCCAGAATGGTTATGAAGAGCTGTAAACAGTAAAATGATTTATTTTTGTAGAGTTGCTTTCTAAGATTAGTGCAGCATGTATCTGGAACTTTTGACCATGGCTGACAAAATGCTGGAGGGCTGAATCACTTAGGGAATCAAGTTAACTATGATATATACATATGTCAACCTCATGTATAAGTTGAGGGCAGGTTGAGGGGCTGGAATGATGGATTTTGATATGACCCATGAAACGTCAAATGTCATTCCATAGTGAGTGGTAAGCAGTGCTGCTTTAGGAGGCTAAATGTCCCTATCCGCTGCCATTTTCCTAACCAGGCATTTGACTCTATGCAGAGAATGAGGCTCTTCCTTTCTTGATAAAAGCTAGCCTCTGATGTTAACTCTGTTTTTTTTTTTAAAAAAAGAAAATAAGGACCTGCCCCTTTCTTTGAGTAGAGTGGCAAAAGGTAAGAGCTTAGTTTATCAAGGGCTATACATGTCCCTCTGTGGTTGAGTGAGGAGCATGTGTAGTCGTGGACCTCAAGTAGTGGCCTGCTCTGGTATTAACAAGAAGAATGTCCAGAAAAGTTAATGTAGCTATGCATATATTTATTTGGATAACCAGTTATCTTGGTTTTCTTTTTAATGTATAAAAAAGCATTCTGAGTCTCATTTTTTAATATAAAAATGGCTCACCACATGGCTCACTAGGAGCTGCATGGCTATGGGACCAAAATCCCAAAATTGACTGGAAAACTGAGACTTTTGTTTTCTATGATGGGGTCTATAGTACTCCTAAGGAAGAGTGGCAACCCACTAGGGTTGAAGAGGCAGGATTAAATGTGCCTGCACCTGATGGAGAGCCTTTAGAGACAATATCGGGACTTTGCAGATGTTTTTAGTGAACAAGAAATAAACTAATTGCTACCCCATAGGAAAACAGACTGCACCATAGAATTAGTTCTGAATGCAGAGTTGCTGAGCCACAAACTATATGCGATGTCACAACCAGAACGAGAGGCCCAAAGAAAATTTATTGACACTAACCTGTCCTGGGGGTTTATTGAACCAGCTCACTCTCCTATGGCAGCCCCATTCTTTTCCGGCCTAAGCGTAATGGCACGCTTCAGTTATGAACCGATTACCAGGGCCTTAATGCAATTTGTACTTCAAACAAATATCCTCTACAACTGATTAAATATATGATGATCATTTGGGAAAGGCCAAATATTTCACCAAATCGGACATCTGGAAGATGTACTATAAAATTCGCATGAAGGTGGGAAATGAATGGAAAACAGCATTTAATTGTCTTCTGGGTTCATTTCAGTATAAAATAATACCTTATGGTCTAAAAGGCGGTCCGAGAGAGTTTATGCAATACATAAACGAAATCTTTTTATCATGGCTATATAAAGGGGTTTTGATTTACTTAGATGACATCTTGATCTATTCGACCTCCCTGCAAGAACATATAAAATTGAATTAAATATTCATTTTTAAAACCAGCAGAATTATATAATTCATCATTTAATTTTGATTGTTTTTCAGTTGCTGTTAGAGCATTTGGAATGCCTTGTTTCCCGACATGAACGGTCTCTTAGAATGACTGTAGTAAAGAGACAAGCTCAGTCTCCAGCAGGTGTTTCTAGTGAAGTTGAAGTTCTCAAAGCACTAAAGTCCCTTTTTGAACATCATAAAGCCCTTGATGAAAAGGTAATAAAAGATGAGTTTTGAAGTCACTTACTGTTTGTGAAATGTTTATTAATGCTTGCGATGATTTAGTTTAAGAGCATTAGTCAAAATCAGTAATCCTAAAGTACTTGAGGTATTAATTAAAGGGGGAAAATAGCTTGAGAGTACAGACTAGTTAGGCATCAATGCAAATTAGATTGCTTGATAAATCAAATGTTGTGAATAGGAGCTGACCAGTGCATTTGGTTTCTGTGAGATTTCTGTTAGTAAAATCAGGAGAGTAACAGAAAACGATTTGCTTATGTCTGTTCAGTTAAAATTGTATAGCTCTGGTACTTCTCCAGTGTATAGAACAATGTCATGGTGACTATTAAATTGGAAGGTAACATACTTTTAAGTCTACCCTTCTGATTTCTTTTTCATGCATTTAGTTCATCCATTCATTACTGTTTCACTCTATTCTGCTATAGCTTGGCTTTTAGTTTGCACTGTTTTCCTTTTCATAGCATCACATATAGAGGGAAAGATGCAAGAGAGGAAAACCACATTTGAATTGTAATATAGAAAGCATTTGAAGAACAGAGCCAGGGAAAGAAAGAACTGCTTAGTCTGGGAGCCTAGGGCTGCTAAAAGCACATGATGAATGGCTTGGGAAGGATTTTCCCTGAATTTGTATGTCACAGAATGAGTCATCTAGTAATTCTTGACTCTGTTGCTGTGCGTAAGACCTTTTGATGGGTAAATGTAAGAGCAGTAGCATAGATAAAAAGCAGAGAACTATTTTTAATCTTTGTTTCAAAATTCTATGTATTTTAAATGGTTTTAATACTGTTTTAATCTCAACTTTTGTATGTTTTTAATATATGTGTTATTATTATAGCTTTGTGCCTTTTGTAAGCCTTAGTGAATTCCACTCTGGGAGGAAGACAGAACATGATGGATGAATGGTTTTGATCCTGTGTTCTCTCCCATGAATTAAATAGCCTTCCAATGGTGGAATGAACACCAATCAGAAGATTACACCCACCCACCCACCCACCCCCAAAGTAGACAGGATTGACATAACTTTCATGGATTTTCTCTTCTCTCTGCATCCCTGTCTCTCCCCCCTCCACTATCTTAAGGGGTTCCCCAGTACTGTGGAGCAGCTTTCCGGGGCTGCTGTTGTAGAAGGACTAAACTTGCTTCTTCTGGTTGTTCGTTGGAAGAAACATAGAACAGGTCTGATGGGAGCATTTTCTCTCCAATAGATGTTAGGATCAGATCCACTGTACAGGATTGAGCAAAAAAAAAAAATCCAGTTGATATAGGACATGACACTTTAATTCTTGGGAGATTTTTTCTGACTTAACAGGAGAAGAGACCATCATTCCCTTGAGGTCCATTATGACACCAACTCCTGTGTCCCTTTTCTAAACCCAGTTGATTTTAACTAACTTCAATCTTTCATTTTCAAATATTTTATAATTTTTTAAAGTTCCAAAATATCTGCTAAACAAAAATGTTCAGGTCAACACAAGTTAAGCAGGATTGGAACTGGTTAATATTTGAATGAGAGACCACCAGGAAATAGCAGGTTGTTGTTGTTGTTATAAAAATAGTAACAACTTTATTCTTGTATCCCGCCATCATCTCCCTGAAGGAACTCAGGGCGGCTTATAGACAGCACAAAGTGCCTAAAAATCAACATAAAAGTGAACACAATATAAAATACAACAAAATAAAACACATGCACATATAAAAACAGGTTATCTCTATCTAGGGCTAGGAAATCATCCTCCCTGAAACCCTAGAGAACTGCTGCCTGTCTGAGTTGACAGTACTTGGCTAGATAGACTAATAGTTTAACTCAGTATAATGATTCACTATAAAACAGCTAGGTTCTTCTTTAATCAAGAAATGGTGTCATATTTATATTTTCAAGTTCTTGTTTGTAGAAATTTCTGAACAGTTAGCTTTTAATTAAGTAATTTTGCTTGATATAAGCATAATATATTTAACCTTGCTACCTAAAATATGCTGTAGTAACATATCTTGAGAAAATGCTGCTGCATGATTTCCATGGGTTGGATTCTAAAAACTAAGTGGAAACCTGCTCATTACTTCTCACTGTCTTACTGCCTTACTTCTCAGTCCTCTCCTTTGGGTACAATTCTCTGTCCTGCCTAAGATACAATCTGTAGATACAGTAATCCATCAGAGTAACACTGTGCATGTAGAATTGTGAAAATAAAAAACTTTCTATGTTATCAGAAATGGCTCCTGCTTTGACTTATGTTTCATTGGATCAAAATCCGTATGGTTAAAATGTTTTCCTAGGTAACAAAAAGACCCAGTTATTCATTGTGTTTTACTACTAATGAATTAGTGTCCACGACTAATCAGGAAATATAAAATAAGAATCTAAATAATTTAAATCACCCTTCTATACCATGTGGGCTTTTATTATACAGCAATCTTTTCCCATTTATTGTCTGCAAGAAATACATTCTAGCATGTTAGTTAGTAATGCTAGCAGAATTCCGTTGTGTTCATATTTTTGCTTTATCTTTTAGGTAAGGGAAAGATTACGAGTAGCACTTGAACGATGTAGTTTGTTGGAAGAAGAACTCGGTACTACACACAAGGAGGTACATAATTTCCGTAAAACAGAAATCAGTGTGTTAATTCTTACTTGTTCCTTCACTTTCCTGGAGCCTCTTACAGGGAGCCATGCAACTGTTGTGGAAACAGGGGGGCTATCTTCAAAATCATGAAAGCCTTTGTGACCTTCCTTGATCTTACCCAGAATGCTATGGATAGTAACACAGACTAAATTTATCCTGGGAATTTTTCAGTATATCAAAGGGTTTTCAACAGCAAATATAGAATTACAGAATTTCAGCAATGTATTATTGTGAGCAAGAACCATTGCAGAATTTACATAATATAGTTACAGAAACAGAAGTAGATAAAATATATTTATAAAATGTGTATAATATAATTGTGTATAATATAGTATAATATAATAATGTGTATAATATAGTATAATATCCCAACATAATTAAAACAAAAACAAAAAAAAAACTCATCACACTCAATGCTAATATATCCCACTGTCAGATGGCTCCTATCAGAAAATTCTTTCCTGTAATCCAAGTCCTGTCTTGAAAACTACGTTTGGTAAAACCAGGTGTGTCTATATCGTTGATACAGTTGGGGGGGGGGGAGGAGTATTTAGTCAAATATCAATTGTACAAGTTCGCCCACTAAAAAAGATGAGAGAGGCCTGTAATTCACAACATGGGTAGACCTCAACTATGAGAGACAACATGAGAAAACACATCCAGAAAAACACATTGTCTGATTTTTAAAGAATTTATTTGCAAATTATGGTGGAAAATAAGTATTTGGTCACCTACAACCAAGCAAGATTTCTGGGTCTCACAGAAAGGCTTCTCTGTCCTCCACTCATTACCTGTAGTAATGGCACCTATTTGGACTTGTTATCAGTATAAAACCTCAAGCAGTCACACTCCAAACGCCACTATGGTGAAGGCCAAAGAGCTGTTGAAGGACACCAGAAAAAAATTTTCACCCTGCACCAGACTGAGAAGATTGAATCTGCAATAGGCAAGCAGCTTGGTGTGAAGAAATCAACTGTGGGAACAGTAAACAGGTCGAAATGATCACAAGAACGGTGAGCAAAAATCCCAGAACCACATGGGGGTAACCTAGTGAATGACCGGCAGAGAGCTGGGACCAACGTAACAAAGGCTACTACCATCGATAACACACTACGCTGCCAGGAACTAAGATCCTGCAGTGCCAGATTTGTCCCCCTGCTTAAGCCAGTACATGTCTGGGGCCGACTGAAGTTTGCTGGAGAGCATTTGGATGATCCAGAAGAGTATTGGGAGAATGTCATATGGTCAGATGAAACCAAAGTAGAACTGTTTGGCAGAAACACAACTCGTTGTGTTTGGAGGAGAAAGAATGCTGAGTTGCATCCAAAGAACACCATACCTACTGTGAAGCATGGGGGTGGCAACATCATGCTTTGGGGCTGTTACTCTGCAAAGGGACCAGGGCAACTGATCCCTATACATGAAAGAATTAATGGGGCCATGTATCATGAGATTTTGAGTGCAAACCTCCTTCCATCAGCAAGGGCACTGAAGATTAAATGAGGCTGGGTTTTTCAGTATGACAATGATCCCAAGCACACGACCAGGGCAATGAAGGAGTGGCTTCGTAAGAAGCATTTCAAGGTCCTGGAGTAGTCTAGCCAGTCTCCAGATCCCAACCTAATAGAAAACATTTGGAGGAAGTTGAAAGTACATGTTGCCCAGCAACGGCCCCAAAAATAACTGCTCTTGAGGAAATCTGCATGGAGGAATGGGCCAACATACCAGCAACAGTGTTTGCCAACCTTGTGAGGACTTACAGAAAATGTTTGACCTCTGTCATTGCCAATAAGGGGTACATATTCCGGCATGTAAGACGACTGGGCGTATAAGATGACCCCCAACTTTTCCAGTTAAAATATAGAGTTTGGGATATATTCACTGTATAAGACTACCCCTCTTCCAACACACACCAAATAAAAATTTTAAAAGCATCAGATTTGATTTCAATATTGTAATTTTCCTATTACTGTACCTCCTTCTCTACCTCTCAGATCTCGCACATGTGCACCTGCACCACTTTACTGCAGTCTTCAGGAGCGAGATCTGAGAGGCAGAGGAGGAGGTACAGTAATAGGATACAAGGGCGGGCCAGACAGGTAAAAGAGTTGTGATTTTCTGGGCCCAGAGTCACTCCTATCTCTTTTTTCCATACCCCGGGCCCCGGACACCTGCAGCTTGCTCCGCCCTTCATTTACACCTTCCCGGTGAGGCGCCCCTTCACCTCACCATTGGGACCGCATTATGATGAATGGATTTTCTTCTACCATACTTGTATAGCATTGCCCTTAATGCTTTCATACAGTCGCTGCATACGGCAGGGACGTGACCACTGCAATTTTTGATCTCCCCCCACAAAATGCAGCAACCACAGATTATCCAATCCCGATTGGAAGTTTCCGCACCTGCTGTATAAGACGACTCCCGGTGTATAAGACTACTCCCTCATATAAGACAACTCCCATGTATAAGGCTATTCCAGTGTATAAGATGACCCTCACGTATAAGACGACTCCCGCGTATAAGACGACTCCTGACTTTTGAGAAGATTTTCTTGGGTTAAAAAGTAGTCTTATACGCCAGAATATATGGTATATAACAAAGTATTGAGATGAACTTTTGTTATGGACCAAATCCTTATTTTCCACCATGATTTGCAAATAAATTAGTTAAAAACCAGACAATGTGATTTTCTGGATGTGTTTTCTCATGGTGTCTCTCATAGTTGAGGTTTACCTATGATGTCAATTACAGGCCTCTCTCATGTTTTTAAGTGGGAGAACTTGTACAATTAGTATCTGACTAAATACTTCTCTCCCCCCCCCCCCCAACTGTATGTTGTTGTTGTTAATCGAGTTTTCTTCTTTTTTTAAGGGACAGTATTTCTCAAATATTTATAGAATTTGTGAGGCATATTTTGACTGTGGGCAGTTCTATATGAACACTTTATTTTAGGCCAATTCAGAGTGTTGAATTCCAGATCAGCCCCTAGATGATTTTTACCGCCTGTCCTCACGTTGATGTAGAGGTGGGAAGGAGTCCTCATCATCCCCATCTTGTTCTTGTCTCTTCGGTGGCCATTGAATGTGACATGGATGTCAGCCAGGGGCACAGGAGAGGAGAGGGAGGAGAAGAGGAATTGCCCTTACCTTCCCCTCATCTTCCCCTCCCCTTCTCCAATCACCCTTGTGTCCTGGCTGATGCCACTCCATGTAATGAGTGATAAACAAATGAGTATGTGGAGGGGAACAGTAAGTGCCATCCATGTCACCTAAGCCTGAGAATATGGGATGGCCATGTAAATAGTTTTGGCCAGTTCTGTTACTGAACCTATTTAACAGTTTACACGGGCCCAAAGTTGTGGTTTGATCCAGATTCTCAGCAAAAATGCAAAGCAATCTACAACACAATTTAAGGCCACATTAACCCAAATCTTCTCAATGTGCCATGCAGCCGCCACAAATTTGATTCATGCACACACACACACACACACACACACACAGAGGGATAAAAAGTCAGTTTAGATATGTCATAAATTTTTATTTAACTAGATTATAGAATTCGATTTAAATTTGGTTTTAAAATTGAATTAAAATACCATATTTATTTATTTATTTACAGTATTTGTATACCGCTTTTCTCACCCCAAGGGGGACTCAGTCACATTGTCTTATTTCTTCATTCAAGAACACCACTTTTCTAATTCTGGAAATATTGTTATTAAAGATCCCTTTTGTGATCAGAATTAATATCCTTTATCATGATTACAGATGTAGTATTTTAATTTTTTTTCTAGTTGATGATTTTGAAAGAACAGAACAATCAGAAAAGAACACAGGCTGATGGGATGCCTGATATTAATCACGACCAGGAAAACACACCTAGCACTAATGGAAAGGTAAATATAAAACCTGTTTTTGTAAGGTGTAATAATCACTTGTGGAATAAATCTGTATCTAGTTAAATTTTGGTGGCTTACGTGCCTCCAGCATGTTGTTGTGAGGAAGTAACAAGTGCAAAATATGACATTGAATGTGCTATCTTCTTGATTACTTGATTAAAGTTACCCACTTTATTTAGGGTACTGGGTAATATGAAAAACACTGTTTTCAGATAAACATAGAGCAATTTAGATTAACCATTTCCTCAGTTTTGGGAAGTTAGAAACCCACTTCAAACTGAATCTTTTCCTCTTAAAGTGATAAGCAAACAGACCCTTACTTGTGACCTCCTTCTCATTGGAATCATGATGGCTGAATATGAAAAATTATGACAGACTGTCTAATGATATTCTTTTGCTCCCCATAGAGATCTTCTAATGGATCACTGAGCCATGATGAAGACCTTGCTAAAGTAATAGAACTTCAAGATGTCATAGACAAACAAACAAAAGAGCAAGCCCAAATGAAAGAACGGATCACTGCCCTTTCTAACAGAGTAGCAGAACTGGAAGAAGATCTTGACACTGCTAGAAAAGATCTAATAAAATCTGAAGAAATGAATACAAAGTTGCAAAGAGATGTACGAGAGGTGAGAAACTTTTTTTAAAAAATACCATATTTCATCACATAATAGTCACACTTTTTTGCCCCATTTTTGAGGGGTAATTATGGGCAGGCACTGATGGACAAGGCCTACATGGTCTCCTTTAGCTTTTGGCCAACAGCCGAAGAAGGCCACATAGACCTTGCCCACCTACATGCAGCAGTGGGTGGGACCTATGGACCAAAATAGGCCCTGTATCTCTCCCAGTAGCTCTCTGGAGGCCAGAGCTAGAAAGCCTCCCTCAGCTTCCGACAGCCAAGGGAAGCCTCCCAGCTCTTATGCCTACACCAGCCTGCACGCTTGCCCCTTGGAACCACAGGGGAAGGGGAAGGCTCGTGCATAGGGGTGCAGCTATTATTTGATAAATCTTTGGGGACCCTAACCGAGATCCCAAAACGGGGGTGTGGCTGTTATGCAATGGCAACTATTATGTGATGAAATACGGTATCTTAAATTCAATGTCCATAATTGTTTTTGCCTCAAGGAATAAATTATTTGTGGTTTGAATAAAGGCTTGAACTATTTTGTTCCTAGAACATTTTCATCAACTATTCTAATAAGCTTTCAAATGTAACTTAATCATTGTTGGAATTCTAATGGAAATTTCTGGTTGTTTGGTGTGGGGTTTTTTTTAGTTACTATATGAATTTGTTTCATTATTTAGTGCCCGTTTATTAACTTGATGATTAGATATTTCAAATCTAATCATTTTTATTAATTTCATAGTGAGCCAAATCAAAAATATAATTGTTTATTTCTTAGAAGTGGACATGCAGTTCTTCCTATGAATGTGGCTAAAGTTGTCCCAATCCAGGCGGTTTATTTATTACTAGAACTTCTGAATACTTTTCTTTTAAGTTTAAGTTCTTGTCTCAACCACTTTGGAAACTTTCCTTATTGCAACAGATATTCACACTGATTTAAAAATCCTGAAAATAAAGGATGTCAAAAACAAATAGTTGTGTAATTACCAACACATGCTTTGCTAAGATATAATCTTTCTGAGCATCCTAACCTGAATAGAGCCATGTATGCAGTCAGAAAACTGAGTTGAATCAGACATGTATTAGAGCAATGCAGAGCAGCATCAGTCTATGAATCACCACTTTGAGTTGCACTAGACTAGAGGATATTTGGAAGTCTACTGAAAATATTGTTCTATAGGGTAACTCAGAGCAGATTTTTTGTAGTCATAGGTCTATTACACTGACATATGAAAAAGAAAATGACAGTTTAATAGGCAGTAGAGAGTGGTTTGCAAATACATTACTCCCATCTGTTATGCAAGTCAATCTGGGTGCCACAGTGATATGGACTTTATAAGTTCTTCCTGGCTGTGCTGTCGCATGCTGGGCCTGAAATAATGTCTGTCTACAGGACGTGCTCTCTGTATGCCCAACGGGACGGCGGGGTGCCTCAGCTGAAGGGCCCTTTAGATTTCCCAACACAGAGTTCAATTGAGGCTTGAGATAAGTTCAACAAAGTTCTTTATTTGGGCTTAAATCTTCAAACAAATGAATTAAACACTTTATAACCTTGGAAAACCGGTAGCTTCCTCAGTCTGCCAACAAGGGGCAGGCAACTTGTGGTAAACTGTTCCTTTATTCATTAGGGAAATCCTTTGACCCCTCCCTGGGCAATCTCTCTTTACCTTGCTGGCGTGAGGCCCCTACTCCCAGCTCCAAGCTGCTTTATGGATAGCCTGAGTGATCCCTTATCAGGCAAGGTTCCTGTAGATATGCCAAGCTGAAAGGTGTCCTTTAGTTTCTCCACGAAGGCTGTAGGAACTATTTCTTTACTCCCCAGCAGAGCTGTGGATCTATTTCTTTAACCCCCATCAAAACCTGTGGATCCTTTCCTTTTTTTCCCCCCAGCAAAGCTGTGAGAAATGAAACCTTTGTGCAGGTGGGAGAGAGAGACCCACACGTCCTTCTGTTAGGCTTCCAACAGTGAGACTGAACAAAGTCCTCCTTTCCCTCCAAAACCCTGGGAAAAGGGGTGGGTCTAAAGATTCTACCGATGATAGACAGGCTGCTGTCCCTATGACTGCAACCTGGGGAAGCTTGCAGAAAGCATGACTTAAATAGATTCATGCAAACTAGCAGTGCAAGAAAAGGAATTCAGATCTCCTGGCAATGCCGTTCCAGCACACTGGCTTATAAAGGAATGCAGGAAGTACTGGCCAAATAGGTAAAGATAATGATTCCATCTTGCCTAAAGGGAGGCATTAGTGAGTGAGTACTTTGTCATTTGAGACTTCTGACCAATTTTCTTTATTCCGTTCCTAGGCAACATGATGATGCCTTAGTCATGAGTAAGGTAGAATGTTTAAATCAATTTCAGCCTGGCTTCAAGCCTTGTAGTAGAAGACCTGCTTTGGTCATCTTGCTGGACAATCTGTGTTGGGAATGGAACTCTGAAGCATGTTGCTTCTGGCTTTATTGGACCTGAGGGCTGTATCCTGCCCATCCCCTGTGTTCAGAGTGCTTGGAATTATGCCCTACATAACTTGGAAACATTATCTGATAGGAGTCTTTCAGGGTTGGAAGTCCTGTCATCCTAGGAGGTGTTTTTGGTAGGACCATGAGATATAGCTTCCTTGGTGGTTGCTTCTTGACTGTTGTTTTGAGGAAAGGGGATTGTTCCCCTTCTGGCAGACAAATGCTTTTTTAAATAAAAAATAACAAGTGAGCTGGTTTGTTTTTGAAGAAAGTTTAAACTGTTTAGCTCTGGCAATGTTTTGGCTTTTTATGTGTTTATTTTGTTCTGTCTTCAGTTAAAAAGAAAACGTGGTCTATATTATTAGTCTGCTTGGGTGCCTTTTGGAGAGAGGCACGAGATAGTTTAAAAATGTATTGCATGTGAAGTAACTGGAAGGGTGGTTATAATAAATTACCTTGTCAGATGATATTTTGATTGCTCTTAAGAGGCGTTCAACATATGCAACTCAGAGAAAATGTTTAAGACCTTGGACCTATGTATTGGAAATTTTAAAATTATTCTGGCATTTTTTACAATTTAGGCAATGGCTCAAAAAGAAGATATGGAAGAGCGAATCACAACTCTTGAAAAACGCTACCTCGCTGCACAACGTGAAGCTACGTCTGTACATGACCTCAACGATAAACTTGAAAATGAAATTGCTAATAAAGATTCATTACATCGACAGGTAGAACTTGTTACTTAAATCAATAGTATGACACTTCCTCAAGCTATGATAGTGCTCTGTTTGTTGATGTAGATGTTCTCCAGTATTTATTAACTCAGTGTAGACTGTGTCTTTTCTTAAGATCTTTGGATACAGAATATGATGGAAATATTTTAATAAATAACATGCTAAGTATATTTGATACGAAGGAGAATATCAAGTATCATGCAGTTGAGCACCTAGCAGGTCAGTCATACCATCAGAATAGTAGATAGTATTCAATAGTATACTTTTTTTATAATAGGAGAAGGCTGCTTGCATAATAGCCCTTTTCCATCTGCTGCTCCCTTTCAGTGGAAGGAAACACCTCTCCTGTGATTGAGGAACCCTTAGTAATGGCTTGAGATATAAATGTAAATTATTTCCTTATGTAACTAGTTAAACAAGTTGAACATCCCTTATCCAGAATGCCAAAATCCAAAATACTTCAAAACCTAAAATTACCCACACAGGTGGTTGAGATAGTGACAAAATTATATAAAATAATGTGTAGAATTACCTTCGGGCTATGCCTATAAAGATGCAATTCAAACATCAATGAATTTTTGTTAGACTTGGCTCTCATCTCCCAAGTTATCTTGTTGTATACATGTGTGCAAATACAAGCACTCTAAAATCTGCAAAAAATCCAAAATACTTCTGGTTCCAAACATTTCAGATGAGGGACGCTCAACTTGCATGTGAGCTAACGTCTCATACTATCATAGAATATCTGTTATACATTATTTCATAGATTAATGTTCTCACAGGACCATTCTCCCTGCTAATGAAGAGAGCTGGAAAAATACCTACAGCAGTAGCTTTAAACAAATATCTTATATTTTTGCTTCCAGAGTGAAGATAAGAGTCGGCAGTTACAAGAACGACTGGAATTAGCAGAGCAAAAATTGCAGCAGACTCTGAGGAAAGCTGAGACTCTACCGGAAGTGGAGGCTGAACTTGCTCAGAGAGTTGCAGCGCTTACTAAGGTAAACTTACACTAATGCAGTGCAGCTTGTCCTCAGCTGAAAACATTTCCACTTAGTAATTAATTTCTTCATGTGTCCCTATTCCATCTCCCCACCTCCAGTCAATAAAATAGCCTGACATAATGCTGTATTGGTATCTAGAAATCTAGATCTATAATACAACAATTAAAATGATTATGGAGGTTGCTTGTAGGACTCTTTTGTCAGCCCTGGGTATTGCATGATAGATCCTTATTCAGTTCCTCTTGCTTAAATCATAAGTTCAGGCAAAGTATTTATAAATGGCTTATGATTGTCTTGTACATAGTGTTTGTTTCCTATTAGCTTTGGTAGCCAATCTTCTGGGGATTCTGTGGCTAAAAATGCCAAACTGTTAGAACATACTCTATGTTGAAAGATGCAAAGTTTTATTTTTCCCTAAATTTTTCATTTGCCACAGCACCAGAACAAGATAGCCTAGAGTGAAATCATTATTTATTTAATGCACAAATCCATCCATTTTCTATGGTGGAGACTAACCATGAAACTTCTTGGAATGTATGAACAAAAACAGCATCCTACATAAAGCATGATATGCTTGGTGCTGATACCTTTTCCAATCCCATTCCTAGGTTTTAATTATTACTATGGTTTTGAAATGACAGGCTGAAGAAAGACACGGTAACATTGAAGAACGACTGAGGCAGATGGAAGCACAGCTGGAAGAGAAAAACCAGGAACTGCTGAGGGTAAGTTCAGGCAGGGATGACCAGTCCTGTTTGTCCCTCTATTGTCAGACAGATACATTCTTGATAGAGTTTCAGATTGGTAGTGTAAAGTATTGATTGATGTTCCACAGAGAGTTTAATTGGCTATGGGCAAAAAGAAGTAAATATTGGGTGGTGGGGGGGGGGGTGGAATATTGGCTTAGAGAGTTTTGTATTATGCACATTTTTACAGGTTAAGTTAGAGGTTGCTGTGGTTTTTAGTTTAAATGTGTTCAGATTCCATCTGGACATTAGGAAGAACTTCCTGACTGTGAGAGCTATTCAACAGTGGAACTGTCTGCCCCGGAATGTGGTGGAGCTCCTTCTTTGGAGGCCTTTAAACAGAGGCTGGACAGCCATCAGACAGGAGTGCTTTGAATGCGATTTTCCTGCTTATTGACAGGGGGATGAACTAGATGGCCCATGAGGTCTATGATTCTATGTAATTATTGATTTTAACTGATTTTTTAAATACCAATGATATTTTATTCTATTTTAATGTTTATATATTTGTAGATTTCCAGTTGTACTGTAATGCTTTCAACATAAGCCACTTTAAGTCTCCTTGTAGAGAGAAAAAGCAGGGTGATAATGATGACAATAATAATAATAATAATAATAATAATAATAATAATAATAATAATAGCAGCAGCAGCACTTGGAAGCTCTACACTGGTGATTTAATGCTGTTCTTTGTTGTACCTTCCCTCCCCACCTCCAAATCTAGGCTCGACAAAGAGAGAAAATGAATGAAGAGCATAATAAACGTTTGTCTGATACTGTCGATAAACTTTTGTCAGAATCCAATGAGAGACTTCAGCTTCACCTTAAAGAAAGAATGGCAGCCTTAGAAGAAAAAGTAATATTGCATGTTGTTTGAAATGCAATACAGGATTAAGTAATATGCTTTCTAAAATTACTGATCTTTATTTTAACCAGTATTTACCCATCTGTTAACAGTGAGACAGAGAACAAGCAAAGTAACAATAGAAATAGTGGGAAATCTCTGCACAGAAGTGCTGCGATCTTTGCTTTATAATGGGCTGAAAAAACTTCAGCCCATTATATGTGTTTATCCTGCATATGAGAAATGTGGTGGCATATGAGAAATGTGGTGCCTCATGTGCAAACAGTGATGAGTCTGAAGTGGAGAGCTACTCTGTATGAGTTGGAATTCTGGAAAATTAGGCTTCCAGTTGTGAGGAAGCATCTCTATGGTAAATAGAAGCTGTCTAGTTCAGACTGTTGCACTCAGTGTCGACTAGTTTGCAAAACCATGAACAGAGAGTGGAGTGTTGTATTCCCCTCATCATGTACTAACTAAACATGCTCAAATGGAGATTGAATACTGTTTATATTAAACAGTTGATTGAGTTTGCTGCCTTCTGCTGTTGTTAAAGTTTGAATTTTTGTTGCAATTTTTCTGTGGTGTTTCATATAAAATATTTTATTGTAAACCACCTTGAGATCCAATTATGAAAATTGGCATATACATAAAATAATAATAAAGCACAGTGGTGCTTTTTAGAATGATGTAGGTGGTGTTTGTGACCTGTAGTAAAAAATTAAAATGGAAACTCTCCCTTTTCAGTACTAAAAAACAATTGAACTGAATTATTTTCCAGAATGCTCTTCTTCGTGAAGTTGAAAACACCAAGAAACATATCGATGAACTTCAAAATGAAAAGGTATGGATTGAAAATAAACTCCACCACTTTATGTCACAGCTTTCTTTATATATTTAGATGTGAGAGTGACTAACACTTGACTTTTTAAAGTTTGTATTCATTATCACTATCTTTATGATCTGAGTATATTTGTCATGTGATGTAATGAATAACCAGAAAGATTATTTTACTTCTGAGTATTCAAAGACATATGATGCAAAGGGAACACATGTCAACCATGCCACAAGAACCTGAAGACCATAAGTACAGAAAAAATATTCAGAACATTCTTTTTGTTTTCTTATTTAATGATTCCCAGAAAGTTGGTCTCCCTCCCCCCTCCTCTTTTTCCCACAACACTACTGCTGCATTTGGCTATATGGGAGTCACATCTAGCTTCCTGTGTTCAGGATATGTGCTGAACTAGGTTTTTTGAGAATGTATACTTAATACGTGAGTTGGAATATCATAAAAAGAAATATACAGATGAAGAGTACTTAAATGACAAGAGTTATATTCCTAAACTTTCATTGTTAGGCACTGGAATTCAGAGTTGCATTATTTTTATGAGTTATCAAATATGAATAATTATGTTTGAAAAAGCATATAATATTTATTTAACTTTGCTCCCTCCCCCTCTACAGGATCAGCTCGTACTAAGCATTGAATCAATGAGGGCTGAAAATGATCAAATGAGGATGAGAGGTCCTTCTCTTCATCATAGGTATGGCTTATTAATGAAAACAGTTTTGTGCTAAGTCACAAAGTAATACTAAGTTATTTTCATTGCCTTCAACTAAATTATCAATACTTGTAATAATATCTCTTACTTGTGCTGAATATGTTGTTTGCTCTTGTTTCAGTCGGCCACATTTGGGTAGTGTTCCAGATTTTAGATTTCCACTCGCATCTTCACCTATAGCTGACAATCAGACAGATTCTTACAGCACTTCCGTTTTAAGGCGTCCACAAAAAGGGCGCTTAGCAGCTCTAAGAGATGAACCTTCAAAGGTAGGACAGCCCTAATAATCACTCTTAAAATATACCTTTTTTTTTTACTAGTTTTAAATCTAAAAGAAGCTTTTTGGGTGTTCCATTTCTATGTAGGTCTATATTAAAATGCTGGTTTGATTCAGTTCTTGGTTTATACCCAAGGCTTTTAGGAGTTGCAGAAATACTAGATGCAAAATATGACATAAATTTTATATTTGTTGAATAAACAAATTTTCCAGGAATAGAAAAAGACATGCTGAGGATGTGGTTTCTTTTTGCTGTGAAATGCAGTTTTTTAAACCCTGTATTGAAGTGATTTTATACATTTTGATAGTTTTAATATTTGCATAATATTCTGCTCCTGCCCAACAATATGCTGCCACCTGTCACTCATTTTTCAAATTTGGGAGATTTGATACTTTTTTGAAACAAACTCCAAAATTGTTTTTATTCAAGGCATTTGTTTATCACCTTTTCACCCACCAGGGTCCCAAAAACAATGCACAATTGATAAAACATGGAATAACTGAAAACCACCTAAAACACTTGAAACTCCTCTTTGAAAGTGGTTCATATATTATGTGTGTGCGTGTGTTTATGATAATCCAAGATTCTTCATAATTGTGGTTTTATCCATCCATGTGAATTGTGCCATATTTCCTACAGCATGCTTGAACCTAGAAAAAGGTGCATTAACATAAACAAGATTCTTTAGAAAAAACATTTTCCGAAAATGGTTGCAGTGGTATGTCATACATTTATTAGAATAAGTCAGTTTCTGGTGTATATACTAATGTTGACTGTTTTGGTTTTACTGCATTCGAAAAATTGATGTCTTGCTGGCTTACTACAGGATGTAAGTGAACTTATATTGACTTAATCTTATATATTTTTATTTGAAGATAAATCTGCAATTAAAACTTTGATCATGTATGTTAAATAGGTTCAAACTCTCAATGAGCAAGATTGGGAGCGTGCACAACAAGCAAGTGTTTTGGCAAATGTTGCACATGCATTCGAGAGCGATGCAGATATTTCTGATGGTGAAGACGACAGAGAAACCATATTCAGCTCAGTTGACCTCTTGTCACCTAGTGGTCAGGCTGATGCTCAAACCTTAGCTATGATGCTTCAGGAACAGCTCGATGCAATCAACAAAGAAATTAGGTATCATTCATTTTTTTAAAATCAGTAACTTCCAGTTTTATATTCAGAGTTGTTAATTGTAGGCTTGTCTGTTTAACTGTTCTTCAATTTATGCAAGATAGTGGAAGCATGCCATTAATGTACAAAGTATTTTTATTTGTTGTTTTATGTTAAGATATAGATATAGTGGTTACATTTTTTTCAGTTTTCCAGAATCCTAGAATCATGGTTCACTCAATTTGATAATGTCTTTCCACTGTAATAGTGTGGTTTGCTTCATTACCATGAGTTGTAATTGCTCTGTGAAGGACCACTCCTTGGAGCATAACTTCCTGTGACCAGAAATTATTTCTGTTTATGAAGCATAAAATTTAGTTGCAGTGTTAAGTTTGCTACGACTTTGCTTTTTGTGAGCATTTGGCCTTCAGAGATGTAGTCAATTGATTTGAATAAAAAATAGTTGGTAGGAAAGTTTATCTTGCTTTAGAAGAATTGGCACCCCAGAGAGAGACCTTTTGACTGGTTTTTGTATCTATATTTGTGGAAGAGAACAACATGCATAGTAAGTACAGATCTAAATGTGAAATTCATCATATGCTGATAATTAAGCTTGTTACCCCTTAATCCTGTTCAGATCAGTTCAACAATTTCACTGAGACTGAAGGATAAATAACTGGTTGTGCATTCAGTGTGCCCAAAACAGTGGGAGATAAAGTTCTATGCTCTGAGTATGGTTCCACACAAATAGCAGGATGTGAAAAGATAAACAGAAGTTCTGTTGGGTTACAATTTAGTCAAAGGAGGAGTCTGATAAGTGACTTGAAATCAGGATCCCACTGCATCAGAATGATAGGCTTCTATGTCTTTGGGTATTATAGAATGACCTTTGTTTTACCTACACTAACACTCAATTTCTACACTTTGCTCTGCATTCCAGGTTCAGGTAAATATAATAAATCAGCCAATGGATTTTAAAAAATCATTTGGGTAACAGTTATTGAAGCAACAGTAGTATATCAAGGGATATTAATCTTACCTGTAGTAATACAGTATGATGTAATTTTATTAACTTTCATTAAGATTTGTAATGTGGTGCCACCATCTTTAGTAGCAGGTGTGCTTGTGTAAATGAGTTATAATTTTAATCCTTTAGACTGATACAAGAAGAAAAAGAAAATACAGAACAGCGAGCAGAAGAAATTGAAAGCCGTGTTGGTAGTGGAAGTTTAGATAACCTTGGTCGATTTCGGTCAATGAGCTCTATTCCCGCTCCTTTTCCTGGTGGCTCCCTTTCTGGCACTTCTCCACCTGGCAGTGGCCGTTCTACACCACGCCGACTGCCACATAGTCCGGCTCGAGAAGTGGACAGACTAGGTATCATGACACTAGTAAGTATTATTTTTCTTCCTTTTGACAAAAGTCATATATATTTAGTTTTACCCGCATCTTCATCTGTGTTTGGATAATTTTATTTCAGCGTTTAAAAGTTTGTCTGTGTACTAGCCCTCTCCCTGTTTACCGATCTTCTCTGCTCCTCTTGGTCTTACAAAATGGCCCACTAGAGTTTTCTTGTTCATGATCTGAGGAAATGGGGAACTGGAGACTTCATAGTTTAAATCATGATTAAAACTAGGAAACCTCTAGTTTCCGGTTTTGTCAGAATTAGAGAACTGTGCTTACCAGTTTTGGAGCAAGCCACTACTCACATGATGAGAGCAACAAAGCTTTAGTGTATGCTCAAATGACTGATGCATATAATGGTTTAATAAGTTCAATTAGCACATGAACTTATTTTCCAGGATTTTTTTCTGCAGGTTAGTCATCTATTGCTGTAATACCAAAATTTTGGGGATAGGATGATACCAGTGATTGGCTTTACTTTATCCTTGTACAATACAGAAGGCTTGCACATAATAAGGGTGAAATCTAGTGGTGGATACTGAGCCAATGGGACAGGCACCATAAACACCCCCTCCCCACAGATACTCCACAGATATCGTAGAGCATGCTACTCAAATGGATAGTCTGTGGACTAGGCCCAGTCCCTGAGCTGCTGGTCCATTAAAACCTTCTAGTCATATAGAGACCAGTTGCATCCAGTTGGCACAAATATAGTGTCAATCCCAGACACACTGGTGAGTGGGAGAGTTGTTGCTAGTACCCCACATCAAATACTTTAACAAGCAGTACTCTAGAGTTCAGAGCCGCTGTGGAAGCAATGAATGGGAATTACTTGCATGAGTAGATTTATCTTTGCATTGTGTTGGATGGAACCCTACACTTACAGTTGTACTTCAAATTACTTAATTAATATTCAAGGTCCCCGCTATGAAACAAGAGGCTGGCCTTTTGTTACTCATTATATACAGGCAGTCCCCAAGTTACCAACAAGATAGGTTCTGTAGGTTTATTCTTAAGTGTGTATGTGTATGCTTGCATGTGCAACCTATGGATAGCATAGGGAAGGGTTAACACCCCTGTGATGTTTGTTTTTTGTCTGTGCCCCTGTTCAGAAGATTTAGCTTCACTTTCAGGTCCTGTGATCATTGGATTTTGAAAAATGTGGCTTGTTGTGTAAACAAGGATTTGGTGAGAAAGCTCCAGGGGAGACACCTTTTTTCCATGATAACTTTTTCAGGAGTGAATTTCTTTCACTTCCTGTTGTCTTATCCTCTGTTCTTATCTATGAGTAGTTTGTAAGTCAGGTGTTTGTAACTCGGGGACTGACTGTACTCTGTTTTATAAAGCTCTCAGGTGAGAATGCTTTATTATGTAAAATAATAGTGCCATTGTTTTAGCAGATGAACAAAATGTACATTCAGTTCATATAAAAGTATTTTTTTTCCATCCCTTGGTTTTTAGAAAAACATAGCCTGATTGGAGCACAATCACTTCGTTTCATGTAAAAATATGTATATTTATAGAAATGCTTATTAGTAGTAAGAACCAAAGCCCTCTAAAAAACCATGAGAAACATACTAGTGCATCAACAAAACATGAATGGACTTTTTATTCCTTAACCTTAGACTCATGGTTAGGGAATTTCCTTTATTACCTCTGTACTAATCCAAAAAGTTTGTTATGGTTACACAGCTCTACAGAAAGAAAAGTACAAATGATGTAGTGCCCATAAATTTGTGCATATAATTTTTGTTGAGGTTGGAAAAGTATTCTGGCAGACACATTTATTTAGTGGGCAGGTTAGCTGGAAAGTCTATCTTTGCTTCCCCCCAGGTATGTTGTAATAGTTTAAAACAGTCTCTGAATGTTTTTAGTTTTGAATCAGCAACAAATCTGCTTTATCTTAATTTTTCTTCTTTGCATGCATCTGTCAGCCTAGTGACTTAAGGAAACACCATAGAAAGGTAAATCTTCTAACAATGAACATGTGTTGAATTTTGTACAGTCAAATTGCATCATTTGTAAAATATTCTAGAATCCTTTGGTCTATGAGACCAGAAAAATTGCAGTAGCACTGAAGGATAGTTTACAGTTTTCATCTCTACTGCTTTCTTACTTTCTAGTGTTTTCTTTACAACATTTGTAACAAGTGCATTCTTCATGTAGGTTTTTTGTTGAAGCAGTGGATTGCCTCAGTTCATGTGTGTAAATAGAAATATAGCATCTTTAACAGAAGTCTTTCTTGTGGCCATTCTTTCTTAAATATATATGTTAAGTAATATGCTTGCAATCTTTTTTAGTCTGCGGTTTCTAGAGAAGAACTTAGAGATGACAAGACCACAATAAAATGCGAGACATCACCACCCTCTTCACCTAGATCTCTGCATCTGGATAGAGCTTATAAAGGAGCCTTGCATACAGTGAGCCATGAAGACATTAGAGATCTCAGAAAGTAAGTAATGTTTTATGAATACAATTAAGGGCCTACGTTCAAAATTGTATAATTTAAAATAAATACTGAATACAGCCACTTCGTTTGATTCAGTAGTCTATTGCCATTTTGCATCTTCTGGCTGCCAGTTTAAATCACTTGTCCACAGGATGTTTTTCTAAACTTTGTGTTTCTCACTGGCTCCTCTTTCTTCAGCTGCACTTCTTCTCAGGTCCGTGCTTCTTTCATCTGGACTTTCCTCATATCCTTATTTCTCAGACTTCTGGGTTCCTTTCCTTTAGTATCTGTGTATCTTTAACTTTATTGTGCCTTTGACTTTATTACTTTTCACGAACACATCCCTTTCACTAACATATGTTTTCTCCTTAAATACTTCAGGAAGTTGGAAGACATGTAGGATTCTTGCATTTACTTTTGGCAGCAGCCAGTCTACATATCTTACTCCGTCAGTCTAAAGCTGGTCTGAGATAACCTTACGCATACAAGTCCTATTTCATTTGCTTCTATGTACATGCACTTTAGTGGGAGCTAGTGTGATGTAATGGATTAAGCATTGGACTATGACTCTGGAGACCAGGGTTTGGATCCCATTTGGCCATGGAAACCTATTGGGTGGCCTTGGCCAAGTCACACTCTTTCAGCCTTAGAAGAACTAAGAGCAAATTCTCTTTTGAACCAATATTGCCAGGAAAACGCCATGTTATGTTCATCATTGGAAACAGCTTAAAGGCACACAACAACAGCTGCTGCTAATACCAGCAATAAGACTGAAGTGATTTGAAAATACCATTTCATAATTTATAAGGATTGTTCAGCAGTTATAGGATAACTGAAAGAAAGTCATAATTGTGTTCTAGAGCTGGATGAGCAACTCTAGCAAAGGTCTAAAGGGTGTAAAAAAAGGCCCCTGGAGGCCAACCACATCCTGCAGGCTTCACTTTGCACACCATGTCCTAGAAATTCATTGTTAATGTGAACAATACCACTAAGTTAATTTTCTTGAAAAGATTGTCAGTGCTGTGTAACTTTTACTTGAGCCACAGTTTGCTTCTAGAAGTGATTTTTGCCAAAATATGGAATATGTGCTTAAAATGTGTATGTAGTTCATGTTTGGACAAAACCTTAACATAACTGGATCTGTTCTACAGTTCCACAGGTTCTCAAGATGGACAAGTAAGCAATCCCAGCAGCAGTAATAGTAGCCAAGATTCCCTTCACAAAGCCCCTAAAAAGAAGGGAATCAAATCCTCAATTGGGCGCCTGTTTGGTAAGAAAGAAAAAGGCCGACCTGGGCAGATCAACAAGGAGAGCTTAGGACAAGGTAGGTCATTATTGTCACTGCAGTGGGAGGCTGAATGATTGTTTAGGGTAATTGCAATGGAATGAAAAAGGTAAAGGAAGACAATTAACTTCCAGTGATGTAATCTGCAGATGATATATGTTTAACTATATAGTTAGCGTCTTTATAACAAGGGACTCCCTAAAATACATAATGATTATCCTAGAAACTAAAATCATGAATTACAAGATGGCAATAACTTAGATGAAACTGATCAGAAGTACAAATGTGTGTGATATAAAATTTATGTGAAAATTAAGAAAACCATAGGAATATTTCAAGAGTTACATATTGATTATTTTTTCCTGAGAGGAACAGAAAACGATTTCCCTCCTTCATTTTTCTGTTTGGTCCTCCATACTTCTAGATTCGATGCAGGTTAGACAATAGATCTCTTAAGTGAAGGCCAAACTCTGCATAAAATGTCCTCAGAAGCACTTTATTCTCTGGTTTGTGCAATGAATTCCTACCTTGTCCCCCGGATCCCCTTCCTGATATTTTATGCTGCCCTATCTCCCAGGGTTTCGAAATTTTAATCTTTGAATTGGCCCTGCCCACTGAGATCATTTTTAGTTGTTTAATGTTTTGATTTTATATTGTTGTGCTGCTTATTTACATTGGTTTTGTACTTTATGTTATTTTATTTTCTGATTTTCTGTTGTGTTTTTGTGTTATATTGTGTTTTCTGTATTGATGGGCGTGGCCTCATGTAAGCCGCCCCGAGTCCCCTTTGGGGAGATGGTGGCAGGGTATAAATAAAGATTATTATTATTATTATCAAGGGTGAGTGGAAATTTAGGATATGAATCTTAACAGATATCTTAGTATGTCTTGGTTACTAGAAATCACTTAAATAAATCTCAGTCAGATCTCCTTTTTCTATTAATTAAAAACTGGGTGGAGAAAGAATTTTTCTTATCTTCTAAGAATAGAAACAAGCTAGAAAGGTAAGGAGGTATCTCACACTGAATTAGTGCATTGTTACCTTGACTCTTGTAGCAGCAAGAGATCAAAGCAGTAACTGACTTTCATGCACTTACTATTCGACTTTTGAAAGAGACCATGGGTAGGGTTAATTTAGACTTCCCGTTTCTGTAGTTGTCAAGTTTTGCAGTACTTTGACCCTGTATGATCATGTACATTATATAAAGTCTTTGTAAACTCCAGCTGGATTTGCGTTCCCCAAATAATGAAAAGACCTTTGCTGGATGAAACCTTTGTTAAATCAGCGAGTCCTGTGAAGATGTACATTTAAGTCTATTTCTTAGTGAAATAGTAGGTTGTAAAATAATAACATTTCTGTTGGTAAGTGACATTTTGTTGGCTTGAACACAGTATTAAACCATATACAGTTGTACTTTAGGTAAACCAGTATATTGAAACAATTAGTTACAAACACAAATATAATAAAATGTTGATTTTTTTTTACTACTGCCTGCTAACAGCTCATTGAATTCTTGCAGTTACTGTCATGGATGCAGATAGTTCAACTCAGGATGGCCTAGGACTTGGAAAACTGGGAGGACAAGCAGAAAAGAATAGAAAACTACAAAAAAAGTAAGTTTAAATGTACTAAGGAAGTATGCACACAAATCAGTTATTTTCCTAGTTATGTGATTTGCCTTTTTATTGCCGAACTTTTTTTCGATTTGCCCTTTTATTGCCGAACTTTTGAGTAAAACTGTGAATTCAAAATAACCATAATGTGAGTCCAAAAACTAAACTCCATATATTCGCCTGCAATTTTTTCATAATATCATATCTTATTGCATTACACTGAGATATTAGTTAATGTGCCTATCATGATTTTTATCTGTATGACTGTTGTTGAAGACTTCTTGTAAAGAACAAATTTTTATAAATTATTGTATAGATTTCAGTACTATTTATTTTTAGTAAATATTGGAATGGGTATTCTAAACCTTTTAAAGCCGAAACAATATGATTCCCAGGTACAGGCAGTTCCTGAGTTACAAACATCCAATTTACAAACGACTGATTGTTAAGAACGGTGGTGAGACAACAGGAAGTGAGAAAATCTATCCCTAAGAAGGGAAATCTACTCCTGAAAGAATTATAATGGGAAAAAGTGGTCTCCACGGAAGCTTTATCACCAATCCTTGTTTCCACAACAAGCCACATTTTTCAAAATCCAATTATCACAGGGACTGAAAGTGAGGTTAAATCTTCTGAACAGGGGCACAAACAGCAAATCAAACACAGCAGGGGTGTTATCCCTTCCCTGTGCTATCCAAAACTCATATATGTGTGTGTATATGTATATGCGTGTATGTATTTGGCTGGAGTTACACTTAAAAATGTACCTGTTCTGACTTACAAACAAATCCAACTTAAGAACAAACCTACAGACCTTATCTTGTTCATAATTTGAGGATTATCTCAAACTTTCCTCATAATAAAGTTGATTATTATGATTATTATTATTAAGGGTGAGTGAATCAGTCAGATATTAGATTTTAGTTATGTCCTATTGACAGTTTCATGATCAACAGGGATGAGATTGTCATCTACTGTGAGTGTGCAGTATCAGTGGTCATCTGTGCTCTTGTGATACCTACTTCATCCCTGATAAGCTCCTGGATTCTGCAGAATCAGTAAACCACATTGTTGAGATTTTATTTGGTCTTTAAGTATTTATGCTGTTACTTATTTGTTTTGTTTTTTATACCCTTTTCTGTCAGCCCTCTGTGTTTTTTATATTCAATTCCAGCAGGCCTAAATGACAGTAATAATATATATAGTAGCTGGTATATAATACACATTTATACATAAAGAAGGCTCTGAGGATTGTTGTAGAGCTCTATGTATTTTATCACCAAAAAACAAAGGCTGTGGAAGGACAAGCACAGCATGGGGCTAGCAAAGTTTTTTCACTATATCCTATAACTTCTCAGTTGACCTAATATGTGTATGAGACTGCAGCCGTAAATCTTTCTCACTTTAAATTCTTTTCTGACATAATTTTGGGAATATTAGCAGGAACGGCTCTATACAGAGGACTAGGTTTTAAGTTTGTCTGTTGTGTACTTAAGTTCTCTTTGTCTTTCCATCATTTATTGTGCTCTTCCATTTTTTTTAAAAAATTAATCTATACTACATACTGTTTTTAATCTCAGTTTTACATTTTATTTCCTTTATTTGCTTTATTTCCTTTTTAATTTTCCATTTGGTGTGGTAGTGCAAAAACAGGGTAAGTTGCTTCAATTTATCTTTTGCAGACTGAGAATGTGTGATGTGTTAGATAGGTATGAGTCAGTGTGAACTTCTGGACATCAAATTGAGTAGAAAGGGAAGAAGGTAATCCCTCTTACTCGATCCCTTCAGACTGGTTCTGGAAGCAAGAAACCCACTTGAGCTGGTTCCTTAGCAGCAAGGAGAATTGCTGTGTGTAGGAAAAGGGAAGGAAGTGTTGCTCTCGCAAGAGATTAATTTAAGACCATTTTTATTCAAAGTCTAACTTGTATTAAATATGGGTTATTAGGGGATCAGTAATCAATGTGATCTGTGTAATGTCAAAAAAATAAAGAATTCTAGCAGAATATTAAAAAATATAGAGCCTTATGAGATTTCTCAGTTTGGATTTTTTTTTCTGGCTATAACATTTATTAAATGAATGTGTACAGTGTAGTATTCATTTTGTTAATATTGCATATCCCAACTAGATAATGATCCCTTATTTTTCTTTTTGGGTTCAACATCTTTCTCTTAGTTTTTAAAAAAATATCAGATGTTGCATGGATATATATTTTTTTGCAAGTATGATATTAGAGCACAGTCTGCTAAAATACCTACATTCAAATCCAATTAATCTTCATCAACTATTTGTAAAATCATAACATCATGATATAAAATTTTGACTTAACAACATTTGTAGCATTTTCTTTTGTAGTAGCTGAGCAGTTTTTGGTATCTTCTAGGGTTTGGCTCCAGGACCCCGCATGGCTGCTCAAGTCCTGTTATATACAATGACATACAGTAGTAAAATTCTGTCCCTTATATAATGGCAAAATTCAGGATTTGACTACTGGAAAAATATTTTGAATATTATAAGTAATTGATGATTAAATCTACAGATACAGTTCATATAATATTGATAGTAGGCATGTTTTTGTGGGTTATGGCTTCAAAAGTTCAGTATTTATTACTGTTCAGGCTATTGGTTGTTTTATGATGTTGTTTTATGTTATTATGATGTTTTATTTTATGCATTGTGTTTTTAATCTATGTTCGGGGAGATGGAGGCGGGGTACAAACATAAAGTTGTTGTTGTTGTTGTTGTTATTATTATTATTTTAAATTCATCTACTAGCCCACTTCCAAGAATTTCCACTTATGTTTTATTCTTCTAGAACAAATTATATTTATAGCAGCCAAGACCAGCATAGGCAATGGTCAGGGATGCTGAGAGTTGCAATAACCACACATTTCTTACCTCTGGTGCACAGTCTTTAATGCACATTCTAAATTAGAAGATCTCAAGTTCTATATTCTCATTTTGGTTGCCACTTAAGATAGAAAATGGCATTGTGCCTTTTCATGTCTACCATGTGTTCTAATACATTTTTCTTTGTTGAGTGTGGATACAAATAGTTTGATTCAACTGAAAAAACACAGTTTCAGATGTTCACTGTTTGTGACCTCTCTCCTACACACAAGAACATTTCCCTGTTTTTTCAGAGTGTAGAATAGCTATATGGATTTTTAAGTGTAATGTTTTTCAAACTGATCAAGGAAGTCTGGGCCCCCTAAAACATTATTGAAGCATTGCTTTATTGGAAAATGAAAAATGGCAGGCAAACCTCTCTTTAAAAGACTTACTTTCCCATTAAGCTCTGCGGTATTTCAAGAACTGTCACCCCAAGAGTGTACTGTTGGTGATGCGGGAGATTGATTAACTTGGTTGGTTTAAAGTCAATACTGGGCTGTAAGCCAATCTAAATTTGCTGTCTAGGGGGCAAAATTACCAATTTTAGACCCACAATATTTAATTGAAAAAGAGTGCAAAGACTTCAAGGTAGAGTGGAGAAATGTAGAAAAGGAGCAAAAACAAAGACAGACACACATATAGTAAAAATAAAACACTAGGTTTGAGGTTTGTTTGGTTTGAGATATGAAAACATAGCATAATGTCATTCTGGGATAGTGGGACACACATGGGCTTCAGTGGTAAGCCCAACAGATCTAGTCAGTCTCTTGCTATATTTGCTATATTTCTTCCCACAATCCCCTATAACATGCAGGAGTTCTAGGAGAGTACTGTAGCAGTTGTAGCAAATTCTGCGTCTGTAGGAATCCCTTGAACATTTTGAAAACAGCTGCTTTAAAGATCTGTATAGAGTACCTGCATTGTACTTAGTCTCTCTCTAATTCAACAATGCAGGAAATAAGACATGAACACATTGAATCCCACCCATGAGAAAAAGTGGGATATAAATAAATAAATAAATAAACAATAACACTCCGTAACTGATTGTGGGGGAAACTGAATGGAGTAATGAAGGAACTGATAGTTATCTCTTTTTAAAAAAATATTATGAAATGATGGTGTTGGAACTATTGTGTAAAATCATGGAGGACAGGTCACTGTGTCCAGCACATTTGAATAATACCTTTAATAAGATATTATTGGATAGAACTGTCTCTAAAAATACAGCTATTGCAGAAAGATTCTTCTAAAAAAAGAAAAAACACATTGTGATGCTTTCTTCTTTAGACAGATATTATTTTCACTGTTGCTGCATGGGTTGGATAGAGTGTGGATGACTATCTCAAATTGGGCTTATGGTATATCTGAAATATTTTTGGTTAAATTCATTTCTGGAAATAGGTCACACTCATAATAGATGTGAATATCCCAGCTCTTTAATGCATAATATTCACATATATTTTCTTCTAAATGTGTCTTACTAGCAGTGACAAAACGGATTTAAAAATTTCCTTCTCTCTGGGATCACAAAACTTTTTGTGTAGGATATACTATCTGCTATGTCATGTAAAAGGTATGCTAGGGTGAATGTGAAAAAGTCAGAGATCTTCTACAGTGTGATAGATTCTGTTTTCAACACAATGAATCTGACCTGTTAGGTGACCAGTCTACTCATCCCATGCAGTGTGCTTGCTGTGGAACTTTGTCTTTTGTGACTATGGTGCTGTGTTTAGAAATGTTCAAGGGGCTTGGGGATTAACACAGAAGTAGCAGGAAAGCAAATATACCAGAGCTAACTCCTCACTGATGTATTTGGTTCTGTTTTAGGCATGAGTTGCTTGAAGAAGCCCGGAGGCAAGGTCTACCCTTCGCTCACTGGGATGGGCCCACTGTGGTTGTCTGGCTAGAGGTAAGGCACCATACCATGGAACTCTATATACAATATTCCTTCTACTCCAAAACTTTATTGATAATTCTCTACCTCTATTTCTCTTCTCCAGTTATGGGTTGGGATGCCAGCCTGGTATGTAGCTGCTTGCCGTGCAAATGTGAAAAGTGGTGCTATAATGTCAGCCTTGTCAGATACAGAAATACAACGGGAAATAGGAATCAGCAATCCCCTACATAGGTTAAAGCTGAGGCTTGCTATTCAAGAAATAATGTCACTAACAAGTCCATCTGCTCCTCCAACATCCAGAACGGTAAGCAAAAACTGAGAAACAATGTGATGTGATTGAGAAGAAAGTAGATAATTAGGGATCTATCTTATTGTATGGATGTGTGTCAAGAAGTCCAAATATCCAAAGAAACAAAAATGTCATTGAGCAAAATGGAATGCTTCCAATAGATTGTAGGATTTATTGCTCACTGCATATGGCAAGTGTGGTTCTTTCTTTTTGTTATTCATATATGATCACAGCATTTAAAAAGAGGTTGAGAATTTAGCAAACCGAGACAAGACTCTCCCCAGTGCAGACATGATCCGCTTTCCAGTTTTGAAGCTGAAAATAGAGCTTATATCATCCATGTATTGCTGTGGTCTTCCAAATTGCTGCAAGTCCCTTAGTAGTCCTAACCCTTCTCTTCATGGTGAGAGCATTCTGAAAGCACAACAGAACCTTCAAGCAGCAGGATAAACATAAAAGCCTCAACTGAAGACGGCAGAAGAAAGTTATTGAAAAGTATCTTCCTTCATAGGAAAGAAAAATGTACTCTTTTAGAAATTAAAAAACTACTGAGGCCAACAAAAGTGTGCAGGTTCTGTTTCTGAAGACATACTAGATGGGCTCCAAAAGCAAATCAAGTACAACTCTGCTCACATAACAGGTCTTTCCAGGTTTCCTCACCCATGTACAGCCCCTTGTGTTCCTCCACAGCCTGTTCCTGATAGTATGACTCTCTGGACTGGCATGCAGTGAGATGACCAGAAACCTGTAGTAATTTGGGACTCTGTTATTTAAATTGAAGTGCTATTCCTCATATGCAAGCTCACTTGGGCTCCAAGCCATTGTCACCTGGCTGACAAACATACAGAAGCAATTTCTCTGAAGCCACTGAACCAAAATAAGATATAATTCTACCAGGGTAAACAGACTGGAATTGGGTGGTTTATCCAGCACCTTTGAACTGATTTATTTCTTAAACAGCTGGTTATATGGACTCTTGATATGCACTGCAGTATAGATGCATCCAGAACTATTTGTTTATATCCTGGCTACATATATGCATAATCTTTGCTGGACTGGGACCAATGATAAAGCAGTGGTTCCCAAACTTGGGACCTCAGATAGTGTTCGACTGAATCTCCTTGAAGCACATGACCAGTGGTCAAGGCTTCTATAAGTTCCAATCCAATAATATTTGGAGGTCCAAGTTTAATAATATTTGGAGTAATGTCCATCTTGTAAGTACCATAGATTGTTTTGAATATAACTGTCCCATAAGGAGTTTGCTATAGATTGTATAAGTAGAATTTTTATGTGATAATAATAGGTTACAGATTATATGTTTGATCAGATTAATTTATGTCTGTATTCTTGGATTATAAACATTTTAGGTATGAAGTTATGGAAAAGTAATTTCACTGTGAACGGCACTCTGAATAAGTCATAGCTTAGTGTTACAAGACTGAGCCTTAAGCTTGGAAGTGCTACTGAATTATTTCCTGGCTTGTTGTAAATAACTTGGTACTGTATCTATGTTGCCAAACCAGTTTGCCCTTATCCTTTAAATTATGCTTAAATTTAGTCTCAAACACTGGTTTGCAAAACATTTGGAAACAACCTACAACCCCAAACACACCAATAACCTCTAATTTTTTGGAAGCTACCTAAGTAAGGTCAGGTTTGATTAATACATGGATTGGAGATTAGAGTAGGAAAGAGTCTTCTTTGAAACCCGAGAAAGCCTCTGCAAGGAAAAGTTGACAGTACTGGACCAATTGGACCAATCATCTGATTTAATATGAGGCAGTTAGCTATGTTCCATATAAATTCAGTCTCTTTTCCAATTAGGATGTAATAAATTAGGGCATACTACAAACTATGAAATGATAAAATGATGGTGTGCACTAGAGAAGCAACTGACCTACTGAATACGTTGATATAGTAAATGATAACTTGTTACATTTTTTTTAAAACCCGAGGGATCAGTATTTAAGGAAGCAAAAACAAAGGAAAAGCCCTAGACCATCCTATTTGGAGCTGCTTAGTGGAAAATAAAATCTAGAAACCATATTGTAAAGCTAGAATGGCAAGCCTTCTTCAGCAAGAGTGTCAAATATAGCTTCAGAGAACCTCTCAGGGGGAAAATATCAGCATACAGTATTTTAAGTATAAGGCTTACCTGGCTTCAATTCAGTGGTAGTCCCAACTTGAAAAGACCCACTGAAACTATGAAATTGATGTAAGTGTTGATTTTACTGGGTTCCCATTTATACTTTGAGTCTCTTCTAGCTGGGAGCAACCACTAGATTTAGGCTGCCACTGCCAGTAACTAAGACTCAGAAGCATTTCAGTTTTTGAGAAAGGATAGCAAGTACAAAAGCTGGAAGACTACTAAGTAAGGGTAGCATTTAATTATTTACGTTTACAATTTTACTTAGATATTATTGTGTAGTTATTATGCATTAATTTGGAGATTTTCTGAAGACAAATGTAATTGTCTGTGGGCTTGCACCTTACATCAATCTGTATTTAACAATCTAGAAACCATTGCTTTTGCCCATGCCTGCTCCTTATATGTACCTATTGCTTATATATTCTGCAACCTTTCCTCTTTGTTACTGCTTTCCTTTCATTGGATGTGATTGGTTCACTGTGGGGTCATGTTAGACCACAGGAAATGTCTGGGTAACACATGAAGAAATGGAAAATCTTGCATCTACACCACAAACGGTTAGTTGTAGCACCAAAGTTTTGTTTTTACAGTGCTTTTCCCACTTCTTGAGTGCTTGAATCATGTGTCTCTATAGTATCAGCAAGGAATAGCAATATTATTAATGTACACTAACTAAATCTTTCTTGGTTGTAGTTTATTTTAATTACTAACCTTCTGAAGTTTGCACATCATGCTGCAATCTGTTTTTCCACAAAGTTTATTGGCGGATTGGGAACCAGGGGGAAGATAAAGTGTACTGCAAACAAAATTAAGGCCTGGATTCCTAAAGTGAATGAGGCGACATGATTTACTTGCTCAGCTGGGTTTACAGCTAAAAAATACTTTTTGTGTGGAAAAACAAAGCAGTGTGTGTTTTGATTTATATTAAAGTATCAAAACATAAAAGAGATGCATATGTGCATAATTTTGGATGCATGATGCTTGCATTCTTAAACAATTAGCTTGTCATTTATTTCTTCTTTAAAATGGCCACAATCCAGGAGAATCGTTTTAGGCATTGAAAGGGCTACATATAGTATTCCGTGCCAGGAAATACATACTGAATATACTACAATCCAGGCCAAAAAAAACCCCATATATTGAGAGATTTGTTTCATTCACAGCATTGTATATAGCTCATTTAAATTACTTTATCTGTACACTGGACTGTGGCCATTACCTTGAATTTGCCTGCTTTACTAAACTTATTAATACTAATATTTGTATGTTCTTTTGCTTTTCTAATTACATAACATCAGGAAGATGAGGAAGGAAGCTGGGCTCAGGTTGGAGACCTTTATTTTAAACCTTTTGTTTAAACTAATTAAATTCTAAAACCAATTTGTATAGAAATAGTCAAACAAAGTTGAATGAATATAATGTACTCCTTTTAAATCTTTTAACAAAAATAAATTTTGGAAACTATTAATACAGGTTGAGCATCCTCTGTTTGGAAGTCTGAAACTTGAAATACTCCAAAATCTTAAATTGTCCAGAGATAGTGACACCTTTGCTTTCTGATAATTCACGAACTTTTTTCATGCACAGAATTATTTAAAATACTGTATAAATTTATCTTCATGCTATGTATGTAAGATGTATATGAGACATATATTAATTTCTTAGTTAGACTTGGGTGCCATCTGTAAGATACTGTACCTCATAATGTACATGTATGCAAATACAGGTATTATACAATAAAATAAATACATTATGAAACTCAAAACACTTTTGGTCCTGAGTATTTTGGGTAAGGGATATTCAACCTGTACTAATTTCTTTATGGGGCATATCCTGTAGTCATTTATCACAGACATTTGAAGAACCTATTTACCTGATAATAAAATGAATAAAGTCCTGCTGTAGCAGTGAGCTAAAAGAGCAGTTTCTTAGATTATGGCTAGAGTGAATACTGAAAGGTTGGTGCATAGCAGAAGTGTGAAAATGTTGGTATAGGATGAGAGGCATCCTATGAGCATCTCTCTTTCATGCTTCACTTCTTTATTTTGATTAACTAGTTCCTCTTAAAAATGTGAAGTAGATTGAGGTCTGATACCTTGTTTGGAGTGGTCATACCCAGACACAGATTACATGATGTAACAAAATTTGAAAAAAAATCTGTTCCTGGTTTGAAAATGTTATTTCCTGTATAATTGTGTAGCTGTTATATTCCAGGAACTTTTGTTTGTGGCTGACACAAACTATGTTGAATTGGTTGAGACTCTGAGCTGTTCATTGAAAAACTATAGCAAAATGTGCTGCAGAATGTCCTTTTCCGTAATAAACCTTTTCCATGTTTTTATGATAGAACTAATAAGGAAATGACATTTATAACCCAGGAACAAACATTGTGTTAAATAGTCTTATAGGCTGGATCTAGCGATATCAAAGGCTGACAAGCTCTATCAATTAGCTAGAGACCTTTGAAAGCATCAGGGCATGGTAGGCTAAATGGAGGGGGTTTCCCAGATGATAAGAGCATTCTGGCTGGACTTCTGCCTGGGAGTGTTTTTGTTATAAAAATTAAGCAGCCCTCCCCATTTATAGTTCAGTACTTAATTTGAATTACACTTTATTTTTTTATAATTTCTTAATAGACTTTAGCCTATGGTGATATGAACCATGAGTGGATTGGCAATGAATGGCTTCCCAGTTTGGGGCTCCCTCAGTATCGCAGCTATTTCATGGAGTGTCTTGTTGATGCTAGAATGCTGGATCACTTAACTAAGAAAGATCTTCGTGGTCAACTTAAAATGGTGGATAGTTTTCACAGGTAAATAAATACGTTTAAGACAATCATTATTAATAAGCGTTTGAACTCTGCTTCTTGATGCACCCACCTCTTTTCAACTTTACGCAGGAATAGCTTTCAGTGTGGCATTATGTGTCTACGAAGACTAAACTATGACCGAAAAGAACTTGAAAGAAGAAGAGAAGAAAGTATGAATGAAATAAAAGGTAACCACTCAATTTCCCAGATTTATTTCTTTATTTCTTTATTTATTTATTTATTTTTATACAGCATTTCATCCATGGGTGGGATTCAAAGGGGCGTACAATGGTTAAAACCTACAGAAATGTTATAACGCAAAAAATCGGCACAGCATCATAAGCTAGATAAAGATATAAATAAATTGCACATTACATAAACCATATATAACAAACTTAATAGATATGACATATATCATTAAAAATTCCCTGAGCTTCGATTCACTGAGATTAACCCAAAAAAAAACAAAAAAACAATTGTATTAAGATCCTAAAAACTCCATTAATAAGTGAAATCACATTGTAATGGTCATTTATGAGATATTTTCCCTTGCCTAGAAAAAATGATACATTGTAAAACATTTTTGCATTGGAAGGCGCATATCAGTGCTGAATTTTGTACAGTTTCATAATAGTGCTATTCGACCCTGTGTTCAGAATTTTTTGACACTGTTCAGCACTTCCGTCCAAAATCTTTTGAGTATTGAATTTTGATTGCTTATCATTGAATTCATATTTCTGAGAAACCTTAGACAGAATGGCATGTCTAATAAATAGGTAAAATGATATGGGAAAGGAGTTATTGAACTAACTGGGTTGTTGTAGGTTTTTTCGGGCTATATGGCCATGTTCTAGAGGCATTTTCTCCTGACATTTTGCCTGCATCTATGGCAAGCATCCTCAGACCTCACTACCACAGTTCTAGATACTGTGCTAGCACCCATAGTGTTATATATGAGCACCAATCCTTTTTTTAAAAAATCCATTCCCTTGTGACCATCCCATTGCCACCAAAAAACTGACTCTAATTTGCAGAGATCTCATTGAAATAGTATTCAGTGCAATTAGGAAACTACATTAAGATGGTAAATTCAATATACATTCACAAGTTTTTGCCACATTCCACTTTCCTCTTTGTACTCTCCAAAAGCTCTTGTGGGTCAGCGGATATCACAATTTGGAGGTGGCAGTGGGGCCTGGTTTCAAGGGAAATAGTGGATGCTGTGAAGATTTCCTTCCCCTCCTAGAACTCCCACTGGATCTTGACCATGTGTGTGCAACGTCAGGATGAGACTGGATCTTGTTCTAGTGTATACATTTCTTTTGTGACAAGCATATACTTTTTCCTCATAGATGCCCTTGTCTGGAGTAATGAGAGAATGATTAACTGGGTGGTGTCCATTGGTCTGAAAGAATATGCAAATAATCTTATAGAAAGTGGTGTTCATGGTGCACTCTTGGCCTTAGATGAAACTTTTGATCACACCGCTCTAGCTCTTTCCTTACAAATACCTACTCAGAATACACAGGTAAAAGCAATGAACAATTTAATGGATAGTGTTTCTTACTCACTGATATATTCTGAATGCTGTAGTATATGTTGTTTGGGTAGTAAATAGGCTTTCATGATCTTTTATTATATTGGAAATATTATTTCCACCTGAAAGAACCTATGAAGTTTAGAAAACATATTTCATTTCTGAAGCATTCAACTAAGACAGATGTTTTTTCCTCATTAAATTTCATTTTAGGAAAGTACAGTATTAAGAATTGTCTTAGCATTATCATCTGCAGACAATTTTGAAAAGATATTTTAGTCTTGGATTATGAATGTAATTCAAATCTACAAAAGTGGAATCTGTTAGCTGGGGTTAAATACATCCAAAAATAGGCTGGGAGGGTAATGTACTTTATTATTTTATTACATTTGCTATTTGTGTAAGCATTGGTAAAATACATTTATAAGATTCTCAAACTGCATTTCAAAGTTTGAAATGTTTGGGTTTTATTCTTCTTAATTTAGGCTCGTGCTGTGTTGGAGAGGGAATTCAACAACCTTCTTGTGATGGGCACAGACAGGAGATTCGATGAAGTAAGTTTTATCAGTATTTAATTCTACCATTCTAATTAGCTTATTTTTGCCGATTGAGTCACTGTGAATTGATGCCTACCCTGCCACAGATCTTGGGCTAGAGTTACAGAAGGCTTTTAACTTTGGTAGGTTAACTGGACACAACCCTTTGCACATTCACTGTTGAAGAACACTATAATATACTATGCCTTGTTGAAGTATTCATTCCACATATTGCTTTCTTGCAAGCTGGAATTGAAATGAATTCCCATTGTTGACACATGATGTACAGAAGACACTCCTACTGCTCTTTTAGATTTAAATCATCTATTTTCATCAGCAGTTTTAATCCTTGCTCGTTAATTTGATTCATTTGATTTCGCTTGAGTAATTTGAGTATCTTCAAGTTTGTTTTGTTCCCATACATTGGTTCCACATACCAATATGTTCCACATACCTGCTTCTGTTGTTCAACACCAATCCTCATTTATTTATTTATTTATTTATTTCGTGCATTTGTACCCCGCCCTTCTCATCCCCAGGGGGGGACCAAGGGCAGTACCATCACAATAATCAAAACATTCAACAAATTCATTAAAACAAAACATTAAATAAACAGTTGTTTAAAACACGCCACTTAAAGTCTGGGTCAGTTCATTATCACTTCAAATTGCTTTTGTCACTTGTCTCTATTTAGTGATCAAATGCTTGACCCCACAACCAAGTCTTGAGTTTCCTTCTAAAGGACAGGAGGGAGGTGGCTAATCTGGTGCCCCTGGGGAGGGAATTCCACAGACGGGGGGCCACTGCTGAGAAGGCCCTATGCCCCGTCCCCACCAATTGCGTTTGCGATGGTGGTGGGATTGAAAGCAGGGCCTCTCCAGATGATCATAAACTTCATGATGGTTCATAACAGGAGATACGTTCGGACAGGTAGTCTGGGCCAGAACTCATCCCTACAAATTATAGTGTATTTATATGTTGATCATATTTCAAAGCGCATGCTCATTGATTTGACAGGATGATGATAAAAGCTTTAGACGAGCACCTTCATGGAGGAAAAAGTTTAGACCAAAGGACGTAAGAGGGCTAGCTGCTGGATCAGCAGAGACTCTCCCTGCGAACTTCAGAGTTACCACCTCAATGTCTTCACCTTCTATGCAGCCAAAGAAGATGCAAATTGATGGTAAAATTTAATATTCAAGCATGGTGGTTATTTATGCCTGCGACTGAAGCATTTGCTTTCTTTGTTGGGTGGGTGAGGCATAATATGTGCATGACATGCAGTTCTGCTTTAGTTTTTCAGTGAATGATTTGCAATATTTGTATGTTCTACGTCTTTAGCATTAAAACTGGCTTTTAAGGAATTCCCACTTAAGCAGACATTAATTTATTTTCATATGGTCATTTAGAAACCTTTTACACTGGTTTCTGTTTAAAAGTAGACATGTAAAACAATGCTGTATGTTGTTAATAAAGTATGGCTCCTATACATAATACAAGTTGACCTTAAAGTCCTCCATTTTTGTTTGAAATCAAGGTATTCAGCAGTGATAATTAGTAGATTTTAGTCATTCTCTTTGGTGATGGGAGATCTTAAAATGCTCTTCTGTTATCAATCTCTCTCCTCTCCAATCCTCTTGTCCCTTTCATCCTTACTGCTTTCCCTCAATTCTTATCTTAAACTTTTCTCCCGAAAAGCAGATCCCTACTCGTCTTTTCCCTCTATTTATGAGTCTGTTATCTTCTTCATCCTTTTATCCTGAACTTGTTGAATATTAGCTTATATCTGTTACCATTGCTTCTTCATCCCTGCTGTTGTCTTGACAATACGCAGTAATGTTTCTTCACTAAAGACTTCACTAGTGTCTATCTTCTATTTATGTATAGAAGAGTCTTGTAATTCTACAATTACATGAAATAAAAATAAAACACATACATATTAAAACAAGAACCATAACACCCATATCACATCTTGGAGTTGAGACACAAGCTGTGTATAGGACAGTGCTTTCTGAAAGCATCCACTTATTTTAATGCCTATTAATGCAAGAAGTGTTACAGAATGGATGGAGACCAGAGACCAGTTCTAGATATGTGTTTCTGATAGTGCTAGGAGCTTTTCTCAGGAGGGAGATCAATTGATTGTCTCTTACAAGCCCTGAAAAAACACTTTAGCAGCCCCACCATACTCTATTAATGGTGGGAGATATCGGAGAACAGGGATGATTTTCAGGTTTAGATGCTTATCCAGAATTATCCCTTCTGCAGCTGACCCAAAAGACTGGATTTGGGGACATGGGATGCAGAGAGGCCTGTTGATCTGTAGATTGAATGTAACCTTTGAACTGTAGAAATAAACTATGAATAGTATTGATAAATTAGGAATGGCAGCCTTTCATTATATATTGTAACTTGAGATCATCACTCGGTATTTTATATGGTTTTAATCTGTTTGATTGGCTTATATGTGTTTTAATTGCTTATATATTTAGATTGTTTATATTTGGATATGATGTGCTTTATTGTTTACCTGTACGGCATTGACATTTTGCTGAATTTATAAGTTGCCTTGAGTCCTCCTCAGGGTCGAGAAAGGCAGGGTAGAAATGAAGTAAATAAATAAATAATAACTTCCAAATTTGGGGGTTTTGTGTTAAGTATTTCTTAACCCCTCCCCCCTCCTTCCCAGATTATAATTAGCTCCCAGTCCAGGGGGTTTGAAGACATACTAGCTCTGTGCTGAGTACACAGGAATAAAGAAAGCAGTATAAGAAGCTGCTTTACATCAAGTCTGACCATTGATATCTTGCTAGCAGCATCCTTCCAGGGTTTTAGACAGGTGTGTCCCCCCCCCCCCCCCCGGACTTCTGTGGAGATGTCTGAAATTGAATATTGGCCCCACTTACATTTGTAATGGCATGGGATTAGGTGTGTGACATTCATGTAACTAAATGTGGGTTTTAGAATACACAGTGTCTCTTACCATATTAGAAAGTGTTTCTAGAATATCTGGCCAGTTACTTTACATTCTATGTAGCTAACCTTTATAACTGTATGGTGTTACTGTAACTGCATCGATATGTGATCCTAATACTAACTGCATGCTGTATTCTGCATGTCTTCCTGATTGTTGAAATAGGCAATGTATCAGCAACACAAAGATTGGATTCTGCTACAGTAAGGACTTATTCATGTTAAAGCCTTTAATTGGTAAGTAAGACTAAAACACTGCTTATTAAAGTTGCTTTATACAAAGGTAGGATGAAATGACCTCATAAGGCTGCTTTCTGTAACATGCTGAAGAATACACTGAGCAGCTGGAATACAGAAATCTTATCTCAAATTGGTTTTCAGCTTTGTGAATTTATTAAACAGTTGAGAGACTCTGCATGGAGGAACATGTGCTTGGAGGAAATGGTTTGATCATAATACACATGCTCCTTCAACAATATTATTTTCTGCAATGCTCATGCTTAAACATGCTCTGGATTTAAGGAATTCTGATTTCAGTAAATTTAGGGAAATGCTGAGTGAGAGGGACCCCATGGTCAGAAATGCTCAAAAATTTGTGGTACACGAGAGTTTCGTAACGATGAAATATTTAAGATACAGAGGCAAACCATCCCAGTGAGGAAAACAATTGTGAGGTATCTGAAGAAACCAGAGTGGATGTACAAAGAAATTTCAGACAACCTCAGTTTTTAAAGATGCAGAAAAAGAAGAAGAAACAGAAAATCACCAAAAGAGACCACAAATAAATAGCTTGTGCTTTTAGGAAGGTATGATATGATAACATTCAAAATGGTTCTCTCTTTCGGAGGTCTATAAACAGAGGTTCCAACTAGTAAGATTTGTTCCATCAGTGGAGAAGACTTCTTCATTGGAGGTTTTTAAATGGAGAGTGAATGTCCCTTTATCAATTTAGCTGTGGATCTCTTCATCGGCAAATGACTGGGTAGATTAACTGGACAGTTCTAGGGATGGTTGTAGAAAGTGGGATTTGGGAACAGCCTGTAAATATGCTAACGTTATCGAGGTAGTTACTTTGCTTTCTAACCAGCTGTCGGTGGCCCAGGCCAATCACGTTTTACAACATAGGCCAACCACGTCCATTTCTCCTGTCAGCGTTTTGACATTGAAGGGGAGTGGGTAGCCAGACACTGTTAACTGAGGAAGAAGTTGGAATCATTGAGGGAAATCCTTTGCCTCCTAAGTCTTTTATAAGACAAATAACTAAAAAGAATGCTGGAATCCTATGTAAGAACCCATCCAAGTATACAGGATATACACCAGTAGTTTTAAGACTGGTTTGTGAGTCAACACATAGATTATATGTAGTTGTATATCAGTTATATATGTTGTTTTCATCAGAAAAGATATATGTCCTGTGTCAAATTTACTGTTTGTTCAGTGATGTGCATGTACTATAGTTATCTAGGAAGAATGGCAGCTGGAAACTTCACAGCACTGACAGTCTTTCCAGGAGACTATCAATGCTGTGAAGTTGCACTCTGAAGTCTTTCTTACTATTGATCATTTGTTTGGGTCTGGAAGAGAAAGGAAGTCTGGCCTGAATCAGGCTGTGTGTGTGTGTCCCTTCCCCTCAGTAGCCCTTCGGCATTGTGAGAAGCTTCTGCTCTTTTCACTATTGCTATAAAAATATGTATAGCAGCACCTGGATTTTTACTCCGAGTCTAACAGGATTTGTTTTTTTACTTTCAGTTTATCCCCACTATTTCTACAGATGATCTGGAACATTTTGAACCCAGATGACCATATTTTGGAAAGAACTGAAATCTTTAATCTGTTAATATTTGTTAAATCTACACTTTGAAATATTTTATTACAGAGTTTTTTAATTAGCACATGAATTTGTGACTACAATAGAGGAAAGTATTTTAGAATTAAATGTTTCTTATATTTATGTAAGTGTACGTGAGTCCCATTATTCGTTTCTGTTAGATTTGAATCTACATTGATTTCTTGCTGACTTGTTAATTTTAGTTTTTTTCTCATCTGAATGTACTGTAATGCTTGTACGTATCTGCCCCTATAAGCAGTATAGGGTTTTTGTAAATTATGCATTTATTGTAATTATCAGTAATGGTTTTTAATAAAGTGAAGGTGAAAAGGATTTTGCTATCTTTGTAAAGGTATCATGACACCAAGCAGTATATATTTTGCCATTTGGAAAATGCTAGCTATGTCTAAAATGGAAATAAATCTGGTGTATTTTTTCCATCATATCTTTATTCATTAACCAGGCATGGTACCTGATTCTATTTCTGTTCATAACAGTACTTTTCCATATAGCCTTTGAATTTAGTATGGTTTTATTTAAGTTTTCTGTTCGGTATAACTTGCTTCACATTCTAAACCATGGGAGTGACTAGGACACTATGAAATGTGTGAGACCTGGTAAGGTCATTTTGTAACTACTTTATGTGGCTGTATTTGTACAGTCTGTGTTCATTGACTGAACATAAGCCATAATTGACGGTATTTTCTGTTAACCAGGGATAGCCTCTAATAGTGCTCAGCAGGCAACAAGGAGCAGTCTCCTATATTTTGATGTGAAAATGTTTGCAGAAAGATTTTGATGCAGTTCTTTTAAGTGGACCAATCACAATGCACTGCAATCTCACAATGAGATGTTGGCAGCTCAAGAAGCTGGAGCATGTTGTAGTGCAACTATTAAAAAGGCCTTACTTTTCATATGTCATCTTTTGCATATTTATAAACATATTTTAAATTCTGGATGTTTTTTAGAAATTGATAATTTTAGCCGTTTCAAAAAGTAGAGGTAGAAGTTGCATCTTTTAAATATCCTCTTAAAAGCCAGCAAATAATAAGTTCAGATCATGGTGCATTATTTATTATGCAATAATATATACAGCATGTCTTTTCTGTTTTTGGTTTTGGCTTTTCTTAATTGTATAACTGAAATTCATTTTTCTATTAACCTTGTATGTGTACTTCTGATTATGTAACAAATTATGTACAGTCTAAGTACTTTGAACTATTTTTATCACAGTATTATTTATTGTTCTTTCTCTCAATAAAGTACTGAAGCATTTTCCACTGCCAATAAAATACTGTTGTCTTGTGATGGATTTTGAAGAGTTTAAAAGTGAGATTTCAATTATTTAAGCAGTATACATTTATTTACAATATAATTACAAATTAATAACCAGAAATTGTAGAAGGGAAGTAAAAAAAGCTGAAGTTCATAATGATTTCAGGTTTGATAGAGAGATTAACATTTTAAAGGGTTTCATGGTTACATTTGGAGCAAGAGAAAGAACAAGAAAATATACCGCCATTTTGTAGAAAGGATGGTGAAATGTTAATAAGACAGAAGGCCTAACTTTTCAAAACCTTTGCATCAATCTTCTTCCAAAAAGAACAATACTCCAACTGGTGAAAACAGAACAAATGATACAATAAGTAGTCTGCAGTCTAAAATAAGTAAGATGTAGTAAAAGAGTACCAATTACTGTAAATGATTTGAAATCTACAGGACTGGATTAATCGCTTTTAAGGGTATTAAAGTAATGTGCAGGTGTAATCTCAGCCACTGCCAATAATGTTTGGGAATTCTTTGAGAACAGAAAACTTTGAAACAGATTGGAGGAAAGTAAGTTTCCCTATCAATCCAAAACTCAAAAAAGAAGAAGAGAGCAAATAATGACCAGTTAATTTGACATTGAAGTAGTAAGAAAGAAATGCTGTAATTACTAATTGACAGCATTGATTTGTCAAAAACACGTTATGCTAAACTAATCTTAACCCTCTTTTAAATACAGAATCACCAGCATGGTGGACCATGTGAGAACTTTGATTTTGACATTATTTCTAATAAAATTTGCTAAGGGCTCTATTGCCAGAGTGAAAAGTATGGAGGAGAGGGGGCAACCTTGTTTCATTCCACTTTTAATCTTAATAGTTCTTGTTTGGTGAGAATTTTAGATATTATGTATCTTGATTTCAGTAAGGTACCCAATACTTGAAGGAGATATTCTCCCCTTAAATGCTTGTCCAAGGATTAAGATCTGCTGGTGTAGGATCCTCCATGCCCCACCATTGAGATCAAAACACTGTCAGGACATAGGAAAGGGCTTTATCAGCCATGACACCCCAACTGTGGAATATTTGCCTTCTGAAAGCCCAGCTGGCACCAAGATTCCTTTAGTTAAAACAGAAGACACAAAATAATAAGTGGAGTAGCAATACCCTAGAGCAGTGGTTCTCAACCTTTTCTTCACTACGGACCCTCCCTCTTAAATACTTCCTGTGGCTGCGAACCATCAAGACTTAAGATTTAAAACACTAGATTGCATCAAATAATTATTTCAAATTTTCTCTTGAAGGTTCTTCAAATTTCTGGTTTCAATTGGCTGATCATTGTTTTTTCAGTTTTGTTTTGGATTGATTGCTTGATTTTTGCATTTTAAGGACTTTGAAGATGGTGCAAGCAACAAATTAAATCAAAGTGTCCCCTTTTGGAATTAGATTTTCCAGTCGAGGGACAATTTTCCCAATTTGTTTAAAAGGATTGTAGGTCAGTGGGATTTAATATCCACAAAAATATTCTGCAGGATAGATTTCCCCACTGCTGACTTACTGCTTGTCATGTGTGCTTATTTCAAAACTGTACATTTTAGAGAAAATGAACATGTGCTGTGTTTTAAAGACAAAAATTGGTTTTTAAACCCTAGCATTCTTGGGTCACTATCACACGGTTTTCACCAACTGTTCTAAGGCCCAAGCCAGCTAATTAAGACTCCTTATGGAATGGCTGAAATAACTTTCATTCTCATTCTCCCCTTCTAATTGAGCCGATGATGCAACCCAAAACGTTGTGAATTTCTCCTGTAAGTAAAAGCTATTACAGTCTCCTGGCACCAATACTTGCAGTCATAAAAGTGGTGCAAAATAGTTTGTAATGGCCAGAAAGGGCTTTCGTGGTGTGCTGCATTTCATAGACTACCAGTAATTTTCTTGTAGCACTAGCCTTTTTAATAAGAGGGATAGCTATCGAGTCAAATATTAAAAGGGCAGGTTGCAACAAACATCGGTTAAGACGCAGACTCAATGTTAGTTCACAGTGGTTCTTGTAGATATTATCATGTAATGCTAACACACAATTACTTATGAAAAAAGGAATCCCCTTAATGGGTGAGAGACATGAGGCATGTCAGGCTAACCTTGGGGAGGCTCAAGAAGCTGCCCATAATGTCAAATCTTGTCTTATGCATAGCTGATAATGAAGACTTAAAGAGTTTGCACTACCAAATGAGGCTGATGGATGTACAGAGACAAACACATGATAACTGCTAATTTCCTAATAATATTCCAAAAACTACGTCAGCAGCCAGCTAATGGGCAGTGTACACCATCAGGATCCTGAACTTTCTGTGGTCCAGCAACCCCTCAGCCTGGTGAGTGAATGGACTAGTCTTCCGACACATGAAATATGAATATGATCCATTCATCTGTGCTACTCCTAGGAAATTAGTGGAAAAGAAATTATGTTTCTTGTAGCTATAGAAACTATCTCTATGTACTTGTCTGATGTTGAATAGCAGCAATCAGTACTGAATTGCTCTGAATTCTTGCTGGTAGCTGGCTTTCATTGCAGGCAGCTTTTTTCAGGATCTCTTCCTCAATCTATGGTTTTGAAATCACAGATTACATTTCATGATGCAAATATAGAATCAAAACTACAGTCATTTTTTTTTAGATCTGAGGCAAGTATTTGCATCTAGAACAACATCAGTTTCTATATTTATGTCTCAAAGCCCAGAAAGAAGAAACATTCTGGTTTTTTGTTTTTGTTTAAGAAAGAGGAATAAGAAAGGGAAAAGGGAAAAGGACCATACATAGTAGCCAGGACCTTTCTTGAGATTAAATACATCTAATAAAATACTGAGGTAGCCATAAAATTTTATTATGCTTGATGTTAATCAAATCAAGGTCTGGGGTGAGTGTGAAATTGGCAGAGTGTTACAATTTAATCTGTCCTGATCTCAGTGTTTAGATAGACAGCAAGAAGAGGCCGAAGACCTAGTGAAACTAGGCTGCCCCAAGTGCTATGAAGACTTCTGGCTAGTCTAAGGGACAGAGATACACCAACAGGAACATATTCCCAAGCCAGTTTTCTCTTGAAAGCTATATTGTTGTTGTTATTATTAATTTCATTAATATCATATTTATTTTTACCGTGCCTTTCTCTCCATGGGAACTCAAGATGGCTAACAATCCCACACTTAGTCAAGTATAAAAGGCGCAATACAAAAATTAAAAAACCCAATTAAATAGTAACTGTTAAAAACAAATTAGAATGCAATAAATACACTTCAAATGGTCTTTAAAACTCATAGCAGCTAAAATTTCTAACACCCATCCTACTTCATGGAAAATCTTGTTCTATCTCCCCAGATCAGAAAAACATGTATGTTTGTTTTTTCAAATATTTATCCTGGCCTACATTCAAGGATTCATGGTTTTTATTGTGTTACTGATGTTAATTGTAATGAATTTTTACCTGTGTCAAATGTTTTTAATGTTTAAATTATTTTTGTACTGTTGTGGGCATTGAATTTTGCCGTTTTGTAAACCGCCATGAGTCGCACTCAGGGTGAGAATGGCGGTATAGAAGCATAGTAAATAAATAAGGATTCAGGGCAGAAAACAATAAAATCAATTTCAGAAGATAAATAAGGATAACCATTACATAAAGGCAACAAATATATGCAATGTATAATTTCAAACTAAACTTAAAACAATTTAAAATAATCCACTACACACGTTCAAACATGATTAAATTAATTCAGCATCAAAACCTTCATTAAAAAGCCATGTTTTGACTTTATGCCTCAATGTCACCAGTATCAATACCAATGTAGTTCTTTAGATACCACAGTTGGGGTGCCATGGCAGAGAAGGCCCTTCCCTTTCTCTTCCTCTACCCCATTGGCACTACACAAAGGAGGATTGTGAAATACAGTAGTTCTCACTTCTCAGGTAAGCATATAGAGACAGAGGCAAATTCTCAAGTATCAAGGTCCTAAGCCATTTAGAGATTTAAAAATATAGTCAGTCCTCTACATTTGAAGTTTTGACTTTTGAGAATTAGACTATTCACAAGTTTGATGTAAAATATTTTCTTTAGAAACTCTTAAGTCCTCCAGTGCAATCAATGCTATGTTTTGCTTTGAGTGGAAGTTGACAATAGAGTCATACTAGAAAATCTAGAGCTTCCTAAAAAGGTGTACCCTCAGGTAAAGAGTATTTTAAAATATATATATTGAAATTTATATTATCAATAGACAATAAATACAATAGGAATTGTTTTGTTTGTTTGTGTTTTTTTACTTTTACAGCGGTCCTGTGCTGCTAACCCCAGTGAATGTGGGGTTAGCAGCACACTAACCCTGCATTATTTCCCTAATAAGACTGTATCTCTTATTAGGGAAAGGGATCAGTCCTTCTTGAATTAAATTACATTTTAATGGTTTATCCTCTTTTGGGAAAGTGTGCTTATACCCAGTGGTTGCTGGTGTCTTTTATGTCAGCCTGTCTTGGTTATAGCCCAAACTTTAAAGCAACCATCCTTTAGGTGCTGAATCCTAATAATGTAAAAATGTAATAGGTGCCAGTTGCTTGCATACAGAAAAAGAAGGGGTAGGAATACCCTCTCTGTTCTCACAGCTGAGATCAACTATTGTTGGGCTCTTCCCATGCAGATCTGCCTCCCGCCATTATCATTCCGCCTACTTATTATTCCCTTGGATAGCAATCTCATTTTTATTGCATTATACATTATATGTATATGACCTTGAAATCTGCCAGAATGAAGGTTATGCTGGAAGCTTCTAGTTATAAACAAGAAGACAAAACCAGTTATGCAGCCAAAGGAGAGCTACTGAGATTTCAGCCTGCTTGAAGGGACCCTGAGACCTGGGGTGGGAGTACAAACCCCAAAATTTCTGGTTGAAATCCCAAAGAGGAACTCTCCTGTGAAGATCCAAGGAGGATATATTGTGACATTTTGTTTCACATCACTGCTGCCAAACTGTAATAGAATAGGT